CCAGTATCCTGAGGGAACAAATAGTGTATGAATCAATCATTTGTCATCAGTTGGCATGGAGTTGCACCTCCTCATGATGCTCCACTGCCTTATGGATCAGACTTTTATGTCAAAGGCTCCGGGTGTGGCTCCTTGAGAAAACCACCTTCGTCAGTTGGGCACCTGGGTAGTATCACAGCTCTCACACAAATCAAATGAGATTTGTGCGGCGCATATGTATCTGGTGCTTCCTTGTACCAATATTTATGTGGTTAAATAAATAAATACATGCATATAAATGTATAAATAAATGCAGATCATTTGTAATCGGTTACCTCATAGTTTGTATTTTAACTCAGTTTAAGTTAGTCAATTGTTAAGACTTTACATAAAGATCCCATTAAAAACAAAGATGTTATCAGGTTGGATGCTTTTGAAAAGATATCAAGATTCTTTTATTCAGTCTTAGTGATGAAAGTGGTGTATGATGATGTTTTCACATTTATTCAAAGTTACTTACCGATATTACTCATGAGTAATTATTTTGGCGCAACTGTCTTTAAATTTTATTGGCCAGTAAAATCAAGACTCGTTTGAATGGTTCAAGATGTTGCTGGATTGTTTAGTTTTTGTAGCAGTAAACACTACTCACACAATATCAGGTAAATCAGATTCGTGACCATATCGCACCTTGATTTATAGAGTTCGATCGGCATAAAGGTCTAGATAGAAATGAAATTTATTAATACTCAATAATCAATCGATTGCAAACGTTTCAGTCCTACAAGAAATCAGTCGAAGTAAAAATAACTCGGTGATAATACTTCACTAATGAAGCTGAGTGATGTAATTTTAAATGGGGTAATCGCTTTCGTGAAACTGATTCAAACTATTCGTTATAATTTACAAGTTTTTAAAAATGCCTATATAAACTACTTATTTCTAGTATTTAGTAGTACAGAACGTTATTCAAAAATAGGAAACAAGGCTTGGACTATCAATCGGATTTAAAAACGCCAGTCTAAGAAATTTCGTTCTACGTTTGTTCTTTAGCTACATCTTCTTATGGTGAGTAGTTCAGTACTGAAATTTAAGACGTCATCGGTAGAAGGCAAGGATGCAAGAACTATCAGAGGTCCAGATACATCATAATTAGATAGATGGAAGTAAATCAAAAGAAACAGATAAATCAGTTAAACGTCATTCGGAAGACAACAAAACTCAAAAGGATATGTTCTAGTAAAAAATCACAAAAAATTGCTAATGGTTTATGTGAGAAATAGAGTAATGTCACGTGATATATGACTATTGTATTCACTAACGATTGAACATCAGAACAAAGTTCTCAAGATGACAAGTATGTTAAGTCATTGTTGAATAATTTAACAGATGGAAGAAGTATAAGTCGGTACCAACCTCTATATAGCTTTGTGAAGTAGAGTTTATTGTTTGTTGACAATATATAAATTATCCGCATATAGCTCCTCCGGGGGCTTCTGTCGGTCCCAAGCCCGGGTAAAGGAGGAGGGTCGGGCATGGGGTTAGCGACATCATCCCGTAGAAAACCAACTCGCCAAGAAAACGCTAGCCAGAAAAAAATTATTCAAACGATTTAAACTCTGCCTTGGCGGTTGAAGGAATAATTATGACGTCTCATGATGAGAGCTGAGTTCCTTCGGAAGTCATGAGGCTGATGAACCTTCTAACAACCATAGCATCAATTTTTATGGGTACACGGAACGTCCGGAGAATGTGGGAGACCAGAAGAGTCTTCCAAATTGCTGCTGCAGGTTTATTTTAATCATAAATTTCTAAGAGAATGGTCAGAAAACTTTATATAAGCCGTTCCCTCTATTCTTTCTATATACTTGTCATTATATATAGAACAGATGATTGGTTAATTTTACTATTTATGCGTCTTTACAATTGTAATATTATTATTATTTTTTTTCAGATGCTAATAATTAATTTTAATAGGACGAAACGGCCGTCCAGTGCTTCCAGGTATTCCATGGTGTTCTAGCTTCGACTGACTCATGATTTCAACTCTATAAAGTTACTAAAAGCTCCACAAATCCCCCTCTAAGAATGATAATATGCTCATTAGTGACTGGCTCCATTAGGTATTTCTTGGAGTTCTAGTGAGAAGCAGTAACCAGTGCAGTTCAACCAAATCTGTTGAGAGATATCAATTCACTGAAGATAATGGTGAATGGTTGCTCAATTACATAGATTGTTGGAAGTAAGACATTAACAACGTTGGGTGCCGACTCTGTCGTATACAGGTTAAGTGCTCGCACACGGGACTGAAAAGTCTTATTATCAAATCTCATTAGGCGGGACTGTGGATGATCATTGCTGGAGAGTCTTACAATACAACGAAAGGGCTGTCCAGTACTTCCAGGTTTCCCATTGTAATCTAGCTTCAATTAGCTCATAATTTCAACTATATAGGAGTATTTGTTGTTTTGCAGATAAAACTACTTATCATAGTTTAAGTAGTAAATGACATGGACTAGTATGATATGTTAATGTTATCATTCTAGTTATCATTATCATCATTATTTAAAATCTAATAGATTACTATATAACTTAATATCTTACATATACATAAAGAATTTGCATAAAGGTCAAATCTACTGTCACATTCCATTTTCTAACTGATTTACTCACACTTAGTTACTTATTTACTATATAGAACTATTTGTATATATATTAACAATAGTAGAAGAATGTTCCATAGATTGATTAACTGAAGCAAGTTTACTAAACAGTTGAATTGATCAATACATTGAAAAGAGACATTTGAATAGTATTGTTTGTTTATTTCATATACATATGGTATGATTATTTTCTAATAGTAAATTAGGACTGAAATCAGTTATTAAAACATATATGGTATATGTAAAATTTATATTAAACTTGAGTAAAGATGGATAGTGGTTAACGGTGGAATTCAGAATGCACGTTTCATCCTATTTGGAACTCGTCAGCTGGATACGTTGGGATCTCAGAGTTGATGTTCACTCTGGGATTGGAGCTCAGTACCGTTCTCTTCAAATGTTATCGAGTTATCCATTTAGCTACTGAGTCCTGATAGCCATTTCATTGTGCAATAGGATGAAGCCCTAAATTTATTTTGTATTGGTTGTTTGAATGTTCCCATTGATGTTTAGGACTATAATCGATCAGTTTCTTAAAACAATGTTAAGGCAATATGCACAGTATGAACATATGCAAATAATGGACTGATCGATTGCAGTCTTAAACATCAGTAGAAAGATTCAAGTAAACAATAATATGTGAGCTTAGATATAAGATTTATGTGGAATAGGTACTCAACTGAAGTGTGATTTTGATATTGGTTGCAAGTTGTTTCGAACTCAATATGTTGTTCAGTGGAAGGAGTGCAGCCCTTGATTTTACGCCCGCATCAGATCTTTATTGTCCATCAATGACATCGGTATCAAGATCCATGCACGCAAGTAAGTCTATAAAAGTTCTGTTATATCTTACCTAACAAATATACTTTGTGACGAACAGGTTTTTAAAGTTAACTTAGTCAATTATCTGCATTCTTAAGCATGTCTCAAATTTGATAAATTCTACAGACTCACTTCTTGTTTTTTGGTAAAAAAAACACCGTTAGATGCCGGCCGGCTCAGTGATCTAGAGGTTAAGGGCTTTGGCTCGAGACTGGTAGGTCCTGGGTTTGAATCTCGCGAGTGCAGGATAGTGGATGCGCACTGCCACTGAGGAGTCCCATAATAGAACGAAACAAACGTCCAATGCTTCCAGGTTTTCTATGGTGGTCTAGCTCCAATTGACTCATGATTTCAACTTTGAAAAATACTGTAATCTCCACAAAACCCCTTCTGAAAAGAAAATTTATTGAAATACCTCGTGCTGAGAATTCTATATTGTACCAATATATAATATTAAATAAAGCCATTATTAATAATTATTATTTTATATAGTTCAAATCATTAGTCAATTGAAGCTAGATCACCATCGAATACCTGGAAGTACTGGACGGCCGTCACGTCATATTGTGAGACTCCTCAGCAGTGCGAATCCACGATCCCACCTCACGAGATTCGAACATAGGACCTATCAGTCTCGCACGCGAGCGCTTAACCTCTAGACCACTGAGTCGTCATCGAACGGTGTTAATGTTTAACTTCAACCAATCCACGAAATTGAGCAACCATTCACCATTATCTTCAGTGAATTGATATCTCCCAACAGATTTGGTTGAACTGCACTGGTTACTGCTTCTCACTAGAACTCCAGGAAATATCTCATGGAGCTATTCAGTAGTGAGCATATGATAGGACTGATAGATCCTGAGTTCGAATCTCGCGGGCCGTCTCGTGGATGCGCACTACAGAGGAGTCCCACAATCGGACGAAACGGCCATCCAGTGCTTCCAAGTTTTCCATGATTATCTAGCTTTAATTGACTCATAATAACAACTATATAAAATGAATGATCATTTTAAAAAGCACACAATATAAAATAACTATACTGATGATAATGATCTATCAATCTGTTTGTATTCTATTATACACACAAACAAATATAGACATATACTGAATTATGGGGGTGTATGTGTGTGTGTGTGTTTAAGTGAATATTTATTTTATTATTTACACAATAAACAACACAAACTTTACTGTGCTGATTGTGTAATATTGTCAAATGAACTAATTATTAATAACAATGAAACCATCATTATTAATGATTAACTAGGATCATATATGAATAGGTATTATTAACATATATATATATTATTTAGTTTTAAAACTTGAATAGATAGACAGACAGGAACAATAAACATTGAATGATACTCTAATGAGTTCTTATGGCCAAACAACACCCCCCACCCACCCACACATACACCCAAGAGTGTGTTAAAGTCTTAACCTAAAAACATTCACACGTGAACACATGCACATACCCCCCCCCCCAAGATATTGTACAGACATAAACTTGGGTATACACAAAAAAGGGATGTGTTCTCTCAGTAATAATAATAATATACAAGTATTATTGGAACTACTCAATCGATATTATTTTTCTTGAAAAAAAAAACAACAACACAATTAATGAGTTACAATAATATAAATCCAATGAAATAAATGATCAATTATTAAAAAAAAGATATGCCTTCTACTTATATTCATTATATTACTATAAACATTAATTCATTATAGTAGTATAATATTTGAAAGAATTTAATTGATTATACAGTACTGTTACTAATCATAATAAATAAATAGTGTAGTCAATATTACATCAATCTGTTTTTTGGTAATAATCAGTTGAAAGAGTAATTAACAAGTTCATTGATAACATATTTGGATATTGTTTCAATTTGGGGTGGGAGAAGAAAATTCCTAAAAAAAAAAAAACGTAAGTATCTTCTTTTCTATTTGTGTATTGATTTAAAAAAAAAAAGAGTTTTACATGTTTGATTTTTATTACTTAATTAATGCCTGAACATTGATTACCATGACGCGCAATGTTGACTAATGTAAGGGATGGTTGGAAGAGATTTAGAGGCGGCCAAACCAAAACATGTCATCAATGATTGAAGTCACTAACTTCTAGTCAGGGTTATGTTGGTAGATGTAGACTACCTGGTTGAGGTCCGTGTGACTATCTTAACCAATGGTTGGAGACTCTGGGTGAGATGGCTCAGAATCGATCACAATGGTAAAGATGTGTACACCCTTTATCATCCCTTAAACCTTGAGATTAAAATTACTCCATAACTTTTTCCCTTCCTATACTATATCCTTATATACAATCTGTCGTTGTATACTACCACCACTAAATTAATTGCTTCTATGAATCTGGTGTTCATCTTGTTGTGCTAACGAGGTATGACAACTTCGACCGATGCATAAATGTGCCTGGTCCTATATTGTAGCTGAATGACTGACTGGCTTACTTATCTAATTACGCCTGTTACACCTCGTGGAGGAACATAAGCCGCATACCAGCATTCTCCATTCAAACCCTGTCCTCATCAATCATTTCTACTTATTTTCAGTTAACATTCATCCTTTTCATATCTACTTCTATTTTCTGGCGTAATGTGTTCTTCAGCCTTCAACTTCTCCGCTTCCCTTCACCATTCCAAGTTAGCGATTGCCTCGTGATGCAGTCTAGTGATTTTCTTAGTGTACGTCCTATCCACTTCCAACGTCTCTTCCTAATTTCCTCTTCAACTGGAAGCTGGTTTGTCCTCTCCCATATTAGACTGTTGCTGATGGTATCCAGCCAGTGAATGTTGAGTATTTTGAGAAGACAACTATTTACAAACACTTGTACCCCCTTGATGATGGATTTAGTAATCCTCCACGTTTCAGCTCTGTACAATAGAACTGACAGTCTTGACGTTCGTATTGAAGATTGCCACTTTGAAATTAGTTAACAGTTGTTTGGAGTTCCATATGTTCTTCAATTGTAGAAATGCTGCCCTAGCTCTTCCAATCCTCACATTTACATCTGCATCCGATCCTCCTTGTTTATCAATGACGCTGCTACACGGGTACATGAATGTTTCCACCTATTTCAGAGTTTTGCCATCAAGTGTGATTGGGTTGGTGTACTCCGTGTTGCATTTGAGAATCTTGCTTTTCCCTTTGTGTATGTTGAGGCCTATCGATGCAGAGGCTGCTGTTACATTTGCTGTCTTCGTCTGTATTTGTTCATGTGTATGGGATAGGAGGGCTAGGTCATCTACGAAGTCCAAATCGTCTAATTTATTCTGAGACGTCCATTGTATTCTGTGCTTCCCGTCAGACGTCAAAGTCTTCATAATCCAGTCAATCACCAGAAGGAAGAGGAATGAGGAGAGTAGACAACCTTGTCTGACTCCGGTCCCTACTGGAAATGCATCTGTCAGCTGTCCTCCATGCACCACTTGGCACTGTTCACACTGTCAAACGCCTTCTCGTAGTCGAAGTTGATGTATAGTGATGAATTCCACTCAACTGATTGTTCAACGATGACCCGTAGTGTCACAATTTGGTCTGTGCACGACCGATCCTTACGGAATCCAGCCTATTGATCTCGAACTAGTGCGTCTACTGCGTCTTTCATCTGATCCAACAACACTCTGTTGAAAACTTTTCCTGGTACTGACAGTAGTGTGATGCCTCTGTAATTCTCACATTTGCTCAGATCTCCTTTCTTTTATATCTTGATGAGTTACCCTTCTTTCCAGTCCATTGACATTTGTTCCTCCTCCTAAATCTTTTTGAATAGAAGGTGAAGCATGCAAACAGTTACTTCAATGTTTGACTTGAGTGCTTCAGCTGGTATATTGTCAGGTTCTGCCGCTTTCCCGCTGTTGATTTGTCTGATGGTCATCTTGATTTATTCAAACGTTGATGGAGTGACATCTATAGGAATTGATTTGCATTGTTGTGACCAAAATGGTTTGAGTAAAGTCCAATTTAATTTGCAAGTTGTTTTTTTCTCCACTGATTCACAATACTTATAATATCGCTCAAAATTAAGAGAGCAGTTCCACTGTAGTATAAGACTCTTCAGGAGTAAACATTGTTATGACAATAAAAATATATTCTAATAGAATCAAGAATCTGTTCGTTAACATTCCATTCACAGTTTTTGTCAAGTTTTGTTCTTTTACGAGTAATATGTATAACACCAAGGAGAGAAAGGGTAATCATTATAGAATAGATTCATTGACCTATGAATTGCAAGTCAACATAATTAATTTTTTGGGAAGGTTGCATCAGAGCAGAAGTTCTTTGATTGATAAGTGAATTTTTCATTTGAAGATTAGTTCAATGTGAAGATAGATTTCTACCACAGACTGACAATGATTGACAAGTCATTGGTTATTAAGGTGTACTGAACAGTTATTTTGTTTTGGCACAGGTCCCTTCATTACTATACATTCTCATTTACTAGAGTATGTTGGGATCAATCGATTGATAGAGTGGTGAATCTTCATTGACCGAGATTATTGAGACATATATATTATGTAACTAGCACCTATGCTGGTGAGTGACCTATGCTCCTCCATGAGGGCAAACAGGCGTAAGTAAGTAACTGTCATCTACTTCAATATGTTTTGTTTACTGGTGCTATAACAAGTTTGAATAAAACTGCACATGGTCAAACTAAAACGAGATTATCGACTTTGAATAAATCCAAAACAACAATTGTTGTTTTCTCTTTTCCAAAGTACCTTTGTGCGAACCACCAGTACGCGTTACAGGAGTATTTGGTTCGATTGAATATATATCAGATATCTCAGATGATGGAAACTCACGGGTTCACTAGCCTAGTTCACATATCTTCCTAGAACCCTAAACAAAACCATAGAATTAAAAACATCATGATTTGACCACTTATAAACAGTCCTTAGATCTGTGACTAAATATTTTCAAACTATCATGTCATTCACTCTAATAGCCAAAAAGCAGTAGAGAATCATTTGGTACACAGTATACTAACCATTATGTAGGGTAACTGATACGCCATCTATGTCACACAATGGAGGAAATTCTGAAAAATCTAATGAGCTATTTCTATATGTTCTATGATTTCATCATCCAGGGCTGTTGACGTGGTTAACGTACCTGAATAAGATCTTGATACAGATCAGAAAAAAAAGACCTTTTTTTCCAAGTGGAGAGAAACTTATCCCATGTGTTCTGGGTACCGTTATTCGTGGTATTTAAAACTCCCTGAATTTAGTCAATATAGTGACTGAACAAGACCACCTTTCACTTACTTTATTAGGATAGTAATTTGAAAAAACCATACCACCATTAAGATTTGAATTCAAATAAATTTATATCCGATTTTCATGATCTTCAATAATTTCAACTTAGAATATATATAAGCAAAGATAGATAGTGGCTAGCAGTGGAACTCAGGACGCGCGTTTCGTCCTATTTGGGACTCGTCAGCTGGATGTAACTACATCTCAGATTTGATGTTCAATAACAATGAGAAGATACAAGTAAACAACATCAAGTGAATTTAGTAATATATTATGTTTAACTTCAGTCAGTTCGTAGTATCCCATAACCATCTTCTAATGTAATTAATGTGTAACTGCCTTACATTCGACAAAGTCGAACTCTAGTGGTCATAGCTTCTTACAAAATCTCTGGGATTACTTCTTGAAGATAATCACTAATGAGCACATGATTAATTACCATTAGAGGTCTATAGTGATATTTTTAATTTGTAATACTTTCTTATTTTCTCTAGTTGATTAACTAAGATCATTTCATATTGTTGACTATGAAATTAAGAGAAAAAATACCCTCTATAAATCTTCTACGGTAGGGATCTTTAATCTAATATCTAACTTCTTCTCTTTCATTTTTCCAACGAGAACAGTTATGATCAATAAAGAAGTCAATATTAAAATGATTCTTCTTATTCATTGAAATTAGTTCTTCTTCTTTAAAATAATTTAAATCAATGTAAGCTGGAAAATCTAAAATGGCTGTTTCGTCTCAGTCTTAGACTCCTCAGTAGTGCACAGTACACAAATCCGCCAAATCGTTTAATATATAAACTTATATCTAAAATTCAATCTCATTAATAAATTTATTGATTAAGTACCGAATTGCATTTATAGAGATGATCTTATTCAAGGTCACTAATACAGGATATCTATCTATCTATATATATATAGTATGGCTACGGTGTATGTTAATACATATGATGTTGCTTGAATATAAGTGACTAAGTCATTAGATGAGTGCTAGTCTTAAACGTTGAACTAAGTTTATTGATTAGAGGACAGTTTGCAATCATGGTACTCATTAACTCATTGATACTACTGAACCATTTTGTTCAATTCTATATCACTAGAGGTAGTTAATGTTAATTTATAAATTTCAATATCGTATTTTGTACCAGTTAATTTATTATTTTCAGAAGGTGTTTCTTGTGAATATTTTAGTAATTTTATAGTTGAAATCATGAGTCAGTTAAAGCTAGATCATCATGGAAAACCTGGAAGTATTGAACGGCCGTCTCGTCATATCGTGGGACTCATTAACAGTGCGTATTCACGATTGCACCTCACAAGATTCAAACACAGGCCCTATCAGTCTCGTGCGTGAGCGCTTAACCGACTGACCACTGAGCCGGCCGGCAGTCAACAGTGTTAATGTATAACTTCAACCAATCCATGAAGTTTGAGCAACCGTTCACCAATTGTCTTCAGTGAGTTGTTATGTCACAACAGACATCGTTGAACTGCACTGGCCACTGCTTCTCACTAGAACTGCAGGACATGTTGCTTGAAGTCAGTCACTAGTGAGGATATGATTATAAGCAGAAGGGGTTTAGTGGAGATTTCATATTTTTGTATATAAAAGGTAAGACTTTCTAATGAAATCATTTACTAAAGTCGTGCAACTGTTCTCATAGTTCATTAGTATGCGTAATTGTAGATAGATATTACGTAATATAAAAAGCTATCATAAGTAATTTCAAATAAGAGAAAAAAAGAATATTACGTAACATATCAGAGATTAATGTAAAACTATAAAGTGAAAATAGTTTATAGATAAAACATGATCATCTACTTGAAGAATGTTAATGAAAGGTGAATTAGGAGAAAACAAAAACTAGAAACTTTTGAAGTTAGAAAAGATGTATTATCACTATGGTTCATTTTGAAGATGGCCCCCAAAAGCCCTGGCACGGCGAAGAGTGGAAAGAGTCTGCTCTCCCTCTCGAAATGTTCTCACATGTTCACGTGCATACAACCACTGCCATTGAAGTCTTACTCACTGCCTTCTCATGGCAGGGGTGTTGTCTAAGAAATTGAGAGGACGAAAAGCGAATGTCCAACGCTTTAACCGCATCTGTGTACAGGGAGGGTCCACCTAGGGGAGTTGGAAAATCCTGATTTCAAACAAGTGATGCACATGGCTCCATCCAGGATCCTGAGGGAACAAATAGCGTATGAACCAATCGTTGATCACCGGTTGCCATGGGACTGTATCTCCTCAAGATGCTCCACTGGTTTCTGGATCAGATCTTTAGGTCAAAGGCTCTAAGTGTGGCGCCCTAAGAAAACCACCTGCTTCAGTTTGGGCACCCGGGTAGTATCACAGCCCTCACACAAATCAAATGAGATTTGTGTGGCGCATATGTAACTGGTGCCCCTTTGTACCAATATTTATGTGTTTAAATAAATGAATAAATAAATTCTGAAGATCCAAGTAAAATCACAGAGTAAACATATCGTTTTCGAACCCATATATATTAGATTTGATCTCATAAATAACCAATGCTTCTCCTTTACAAAGATTTTTGATCTGTATCATTTTTGAGACAGATTGTTTCGTTTTATAAAACAATTTAATAACTTGATGTTGACTGTGTGACCAGAGTTGATCAGGTGTTCAACAGAATAGATCTAGTGATGTTTTTACATTCTTCTTTCTATATCTATGTCCATTAATTCTTAAAAAATTCAATTAGAGATGATAGTTATTGAATAGGTCTTATATAATCTACACCATAGTAGCAACTGAACTAATCAATAAACATTGAGTTGGCCCGAAATGTTTTACAAACAACATTGAAACCATGGAGATTTGTAGCTAAGGTGGATGATTTTGATAAAGTTTTGTCGTCTGAGCTGGATGGTTTGGTCGTAGATCTTTCAACGTCTCGAAGTTTGTGCTGATAATGTTGTTCAGAAGGAGATGGCTCAGAATCGATCACAATGGTGTAGGTGTATACACTCTTTATCTTCCCTTGAACCTTAACATTAAAATTTCTCCATATCTGTCTTTCTTCCTATACTATATCCTTATATACAACCTTTATTTTATATATTCCCACCACTAAATTAACTACTTCTATGAATCTGGTGTTCATCTTGTTGTACTAATGAACTAATGGCAACTTGGACCGATGCATAAATGTGCCTGGTCCTATATTGTAGCTGACTGACTGACCGAAAGAACAAAATTCCATCAAAAACATTGAAACCATATATTTATAGCTTTTCTTATAGATTTACTAACTAGGTTAATTGATTATAAGTTATCTTGTATTCATATACAATAGTGATACATTATATAACATGTAAATGTGTAATCGAGTTATTTGATTATGCCTTTGTATGTTAAACTGAAGCCTTAGCCCTACGAAACTTTAACCCCCCTTTGCGTATTCAAAAAACAGTTTGTTTTCACCTTAAACCTATCCTGAGAATATTAGCTTATTATCCTGATAGCCATTTGATTGTGCAATGGGATGAAGCTTTAAATTTATTTTGTATTGTTTGTTTGAATCTTCCCATTGATGTTTAGGACTGCGACTGGTCAATCTTTAATTGGTATATGTGCATACTGTGTGTATTGTCTCGATATAGCTTTAATTCACAAGAATTCTAAGCAAAGATGGATAGTGGTTAGCAGTGGAATCCAGGACCCAATCGTACGAGCAAGTGGCTATCAGGACTCAGTAGTTGAGTGTACAACGCGATGGCGTTTGAAGCGAAAGATACTGGGTTCGAGTCCCATGGTGGACATCAACTCTGAGATGCAGGTACATCCAGCTGACGAGTCCCAAATAGGACGAAACGCGTGTCCTGGATTCCACTGCTAGCTACTATTCATCTTAGCTTATTATATTTTGATCATTTGTTCCATATTTTTTTCAGAGAAATAAATAATTGTAAACTGCTGATCTTTAATAAGATCAAATTCCATTTGATTATTTATTCTATGAATGACTCTTAGAAAAAAAAACAACAACACACAAATCATCGTAGAGTCTGTTTAAACAAATAAGATTTTATTGCATTGTAGATGTGAATAATTCCGTAAAATCAATAGCTCTGTAAGTCATTGGCATTGGATTCTGACCACATTAGTTTTAATAGACTCACTTAGCTGAAGACGCTCGGTCATGCATCCGCACCAGATCACGAGTTGGGACGGCGTGCTCAACGTCTCCTGCAATCACTAACCAGCTTAAATTAGTCACTTCTCGGCATATTGATGATCTATCAAATATATCTTCCAGCTTTCTCGCTTTTGACTTTTGATTTCACTGGGTTGGAGCAATTCAATTATAGGAGGTGTTACTGGTAATGTGTTATCAAATTACAATTCCTGTGGTATCTTCAGTATTAAATCAATTTTTTTTTCTTTTTTTGGTAATGGCAACTGACATTGATATTTGAACTACTTCAGAAAACTCTTCAACGGTTTGGAAAACCTATTTGAACTAAACTAACTTGGATTACTTGTAAAGTAGGAAAGATGTCTATCTATTAATCAAGAAACAATATATATATCGGTAAACTGACTGTTGGAATATACACCTCACTGTTCAATCCTGAGTCAAATCATGATGTGGATACCGCTGAGTAGTAATAAATCACATTAAGACAATTATCTATAAAGTGCCGTTTAGAAAACACTAGTAAACATACAGAGAACTCCAAGCCAATTACAATTGATGGCAAAATTCTGGAAGATGTGAAAACATTCACGTACCTATGTAGCAGCATCATCGATAAACAAGGAGGATCGGATTCTCAAATGCAACACAGAGAACACCAACCCAATCACACTTGATGGCAAAACTCTGGAAGAGGTGGAAACATTCATGTACCCGTGTAGCAGCGTCATTGATAAACAAGGAGGATCGGATGCAGATGTAAATGTGAGGATTGGAAGAGCTAGGGCAGCATTTCTACAATTGAAGAACATATGGAACTCCAAACAACTGTTAACTAATTTCAAAGTGACAATCTTGAATACGAACGTCAAGACTGTCAGTTCTATTGTACGGAGCTGAAACGTGGAGAATTACTACATCCATCATCAAGGGGGTACAAGTGTTTGTAAATAGTTGTCTTCGAAAAATACTCAACATTCACTGGCTGGATACCATCAGCAACAGTCTAATATGGGAGAGGATAAACCAGCTTCCAGTTGAAGAGGAAATTAGGAAGAGACGTTGGAAGTGGATTGGACGTACACTAAGAAAATCACTAGACTGCATCACGAGGCAATCGCTAACTTGGAATGGTGAAGGGAAGCGGAGAAGTTGAAGGCTGAAGAACACATTACGCCAGAAAATAGAAGTAGATATGAAAAGGATGAATGTTAACTGAAAATAAGTAGAAATGATTGGTGAGGACAGGGTTTGAATGGAGAATGCTGGTATGCGGCTTATGCTCCTCCTCCACGAGAGGTGACAAGTATAAGTAAGTAAGTATGTAACCACATATCTAATGTCAATCTGTGATGAAATCTTTAAAAAAAATGGATCATTTTATAAAATAAATAACATTGGTGAATGGTTGCTCAATTTTGTGGATTGGTTGAAGTTAGACATTAACACCGTTTGATGCTAGCTGACTGAGTTGTCTAGAGGTAAAGTTCTATCACACGAGACTGATAGGTCCTGTGTTCGAATCTTGTAAGGCAGGATCGTGGATGAGCACTGTTGAGGAGTCCCACAATATGACGAATCGGTCGTCCAGTGCTTGCAGGTTTTCCATGATGATCTAGCTTCAATTGACTCATGATCTTTACTATATATTATTGTAAAATAAAAAAAGTTTTATCACTTATCTATTTACTCCCCTTTTTTTCTTGTTTATCCTTTAGATGTATCTTTTTAATTCAAGAAAAAATATTAAATTGTGATTCAATTAACTTTTATGTATATAAAAGCCAATTGCATTTCCTCTGTGTCTTTCTATTAGAGTATTATCATTATTATTATTATTATTACTACTACTACATTGATATTGATTTTATACATATAGAAGACACAATACAATACACCAACACACACACACACACATTTGCATTTACCGAAGGGGGAGGGGAAAGAATGAAGAGAATTCGTCAAGACTATTCATCATTCATGAAATAATATCCAATTGAGTGCTTTCCCATTCATATATTTATATACTTATCAATTTTATATACACAAAAAAGTATGAATAAACCTAATTCATCTATAACATCAAATCATTATTATGCAATAGATTTACAAACAGATTTTCAATTACAAACACCATGCATTTCAAACTTTTTAGATTATGATTTGTCTCCAAGTGAATTACATAATAATAATAATAATAATAATAATAATAATTTATTAGAAGGGGGAGGAGAACAATGCCAAGAGATAAGTAAAATGTCTCAGCAACAACACCACCAACATCACCACCACCACCAACAACAACAACAGGAATACCAGCCAAATCATACTGATCATCCACAACAATATGGTAATGTTCATTATATTAATTCTCATTTGTCAAATTATCCATATAATCAATATTTACAAAGTGGTGATTGTTTGATAAATTCAACAATCAATCCAAATATGAATGATATGACAATGTCAATAATGAAAAAAATTGGAATTGACAATTATTTTTCATCTGAATTACAAGTAAATTAATGATTTATATATGAATATTGATTAGTGATGTAAATTGATAAGTGTTTCTCATCTTATATAGGTAACCTTTATCTTATTGAGACGTATTTATTTATATAAACACATAGGCGAGACTAAAGAACATGGACGAGCCAATCAAAAGCTTTCGCGGGCTTTCAAGGTCACGGCGCTAAGTTCGGTACCTGACGCTTACGTACGATCGGTTTACAACAGATTTTAGAGGAAACATGATAATTAAGCGTCTACAAGAGAAGTGATCATAAGATTTTGGCGCAAAATTCAATTATACATTTGGATAGAGTTGTGGCATTATAACTGATGTCAGTTCGTGATGAAAACCTTAAGTATAATTCCTAACCTTAACCATGAACTGTAAATCATAATTTGAATTCTTCACACGGGTTTATAACCCTCATTCAGTCTTAGTTATTACGTTGACACTCTCAGATTCACTCTAGCGTCGCTTAAATGTCGTTCATAATTCATAGTCTCATCTTTAACCCTAAACCGTAACCCTAAACCTTAACCCTAATTTTAAACCCTAAACCATACCAACATACCGACAACACTGAAACTATGTGGTCGAGGCTAAAAGAATTTTCGGGACTTTATCATGGTTCCAGAAATCGACTACTATGGAGCCACAGGGATGAGTTCCTGTATCAGATGCATTATGATTTTAGAACTTCTGAACCTATATCTGACCTTGATAAGTTTTTGATTCATGTAAAAGAACAGTATCCCCTTTAATTTTTGAGTTTTATATAATATATTTTTACTGTATACTAACTGTCTTCTGATTGACTAGTATTTCTCAAGGTCATTTAAGATTCGTTCAAAGGTCGTCCATGTTCTTTAGTCTCGCCAACACATATTGGTAGAAGGGGGCGCCAGATATATATGCGCCACACAAATCTTATTTGATTTGTGTGAAGGCTGTGATACTACCTAGGTGCCCAAACTGAAGCAGGCAGTATTCTTAAGAGGCCACACCTGGAGCATTTGACGTAAAGGTCTGATCCACAAGGCAGTGAAGCAACATCAAGAGATGCAGTCCTATGGTAGTCGATGACCAACAATTAATTCATACACCATCTGTTCCCTCAGGATACTGGGGCCCATGTGTACTATTGATTTGAAATTAGGGTTTTCCAACTCACCTAGGTGGACTTTCCGTGTCCACCAACCCGGTTAAATCGCCGGACATTCGCTTTCCGTCCTCTCAATTTCGTGAACAACAATAATCCCACAAGTATGTAGTGAGTAGGACTTGCCTGTCAGAGGCTATATAGACGTAGGCATTCTAGAGCATTTGGAGAGGGAGATGGGACTCTCCCCACTCTTGGCCGTACCAGGGCATTTTGGGGACTATGCTTGTTAACGACATATCGTACCAGTAATATTGAATAGTATTCATAAAACCTGACTTTTATTCATTTTAAAACAAATGTTTATTTAGTAGTTGAATTTATGGATAAATTAAAGTTATTAAATCACAATAATATGTACAAAACCCCTTTCTCATTATAATCATCACATGCTCACTGGTGACTGGACTGAAGAAGTACTTCCTGGAGTTATAGTGAGAAGATGTGACCAGTGGAGTTCAACCGTGTCTGTTATGAAATGATGACTTACTTTCTTCGATTGGTTGTAGTTAGACAATAATACCGTTAGATGTCGGCTCAGTGATCTAAAAGATGAGCGTGCACGCGAGACAAATAAGCCCTGGCTTCGAATCCCATGAGCAAGATCGTGGATGCACACTGCTGAGAAGTCCCATACTATGACAAATCATTCGTCTGGTGCTTCCAGGTTTTTCATAGTGATGTAGCTTTAATCGACTCATGAATTCAGCTATTAAATTACAATAATATCCACAACACAGCCTTCTAATTAAAATGTTTATTTAGCCGTTAAATTGTATTGAGTAGTAAAATTGCAATTGAACATTTAATACATTAATTAGTATCGTATCAATTTCGGTAGGTATAGATTACGTGGTTGGGATTCGTGAGATGATAGCAATCGATGGTTAGAGACCTTGAATGACATGGCTCAAAATTGTTCGCAATGGCAAAGGTGCATCCACTCTTTGTGTTCTACCAAATTCTAATCTTCTGAATTCTTCATGTCATCATCTTTTTTCTCTTTACAAACTTATTTCACTGGATTATACTCCTTGAATAACATCTTCAAACCGTAATCTTTCCGAATACTGCTTATACTCTTACTACTTCTACCACTATGGGATTTGAATCGACAACTGAATCTCTGTGCTAATGTGGTATGGAAACTCGAACTGACGTACGTACGTGCGAAGGTCTACATTGTGACTGACTGACTGGTTTCCATTGATTTTTCAATTACACCTTTTTTCTTTAACTAATACCAAATAGGATTAATTTGATAGTCTAATAGTCGTGACCTTTATTCAAATACACAATACAATTAAGCAATGAAAAGTATAATTAGGTGACAAAAATGATTGTACATTCAAATTTTAACTTTTACTTGATAAAACGCCAGGTATTTCCTTTTTACCAGAATAGGGGATTGTGGAGATTGTAGTTATTTAATAGTTGAATTCATCAGTTGATTAAAGCTCGATCACCATAGAAAACCTGGAAGCACTGGACGATTGATTTCTTCTAGTATGGGACATCCCAGAAGTGCGCATCCACGATTCCGCTCGTGGGACTCGACCCCACGACCTTCGGTCTCGCACACTAACGCTCAACCTCTAGCAGTGTTAGTATCTAACTTCAACCAACCCACAATATCACTTTTTACATGAAAGAACATCTACAGTGTTCTTGATGGACTGATTTAATCTTATTTTACGTATATAAAGATTACTTTTCAGTATGTATACGTATGTTTACAAGAGTAAGAAAATTACCATTTTAACGACTTCAATAAAAAACATATTTGAAGTGGCTTAATTTACCGCCAAATAATTAATTTCATTATTTCTAATCAATTAGTGAATGTGAATGTATAATTAGTTAGTTAGTTTCAATTTAGATCAAAATATTTACTTTTCATACTATTGAGTAAGTTACGTGCTTTGCACCTTCGAAGTGCAAAGTACTTCTACAAGACTGACAGGATTCTAATCCTGTGCTCACCCTGGGTGGTGAGCAGATTGAAGTAGTCGAGCAGTTCGTGTATCTAGGTAGCTTCAGAAGGGCTGGCGGTGGCGTAAATGATGAGATCAATGCACGTATAGTGAAAGCCAAAGAGGCTTATGCTAGTCTTGGCCATCTTTGGTGCCTTCGTGATGTTAGTCTGGCTGTAAAAGGTCGGATCTACAACGCGTCGGTGAGAGCAGTTTTGCTCTATGTTTGTGAAACCTGGAGTCTTCGGGTTGACTGTGTTAGACGACTCTCTGTGTTCGATCATCGCTGTCTTTGAAGGATTGCTGACACACAGTGGCAACACCATGTTAGTAATGCACAGGTTCGCCATCGTGTGTTCGGGCGCAGAGACGATAATTTAATTGGTGTCACCATCTTGAAACACCGACTTCAGTGGTTTGGACATGTTCTACGAATGTCGTCTCAGAGAATTCCACGTCATGCATTACTTGCCGACTCTGGGACTGGTTGGAAAAAGTGGAGAGGTGGTCAGTGTATGACATGGTGTCGTGGCATGAAAGAAAGCTGCAAAGGGCTAGCTTCCGTTGGTCCTTCACGACTCCCTGGTTGGGGTCCGAGAGATGGCGCAGCACAGTGGCTAGAGACGTTATCAGATATAGCTTCAATGTTGCATTTGGTGATGGTATGTGTTGGGAGAATTTTATTTACTCACTGTAAAATGGCTTTTTAACAATCATCAAGATAAATATCTATCCCTTTTCTCATTTATAAACCACTTCAACCAATCATTTAAACTGATAACACACATAACTAAATGTTATCTATCCATTTGTACATGCATAGTTTCTTTGTTTTCAGATACCAATCAATCAAATTTCTTCATCTCATTCAAAGTCAACTTTTAATTTTGGCAAACGACAAGCATTTCATGATTTTAAAGAATTACTGCTAGATATTTATCATGATGAGAATGAATCTTTCATCAATAAGGATCAAGATAATATTTCAAATGGATCACAGTATCCGAGACCATCTTCAATTGTATCGTCAACATCAAATAGTATCACTTCAATAAATCAAAATCAATCCACCTTATATAATGATTCAAATGATATTCATCGAATAGATCCAATATCAAAAAGACATAAAGAGTTACCTACTTCTAAAGAGAATTCAGATTTATATAATGGTACTGAAAGTTTCATCAATAATCAAGTCAATGATGAACATATCTATCTAAATGGTAATAATAATAATAATCTAACCAAAATACAAGAAAGTAAATTGATCAATTCAAAGTTACCGAAAAGGTAAGCAGCATTCTATTTTCATTATACAAAATATTTAATAATAATAGTGGAGAAGATTTGTATCTCAGATGGGTTATTTTGATGGAGTTTCGTCCTCTGAGATGTATGGTTCGGTTTTACAGCTTTCATCGTCCTTCTGAAAGACATCATCATCAAACTTCGGGGAGGAGTGAAGTGTTTGAATTTCTCCACATGTGGTTCATAGCTTGTCATGTGCACTTCGATGCTGATCAACATGAGCCAATCAACGTCGAGGTGAACAGGATAAGCTATGAACCACATGTGGAGAAATTCAAACATTTCACTTCTACCTGAAGTTTGTGCTGATGATGTCGTTCAGAAGGACGTTGAAAGTTTCTCGACCAAACCATCCAAACCAGAGAACAAAACTCCATCAAAAGACGTACTTCTTTTGTACGCATAGTTCTGGTTTAAGCTCACCGATGGTAAGACCTTCGACTATTTTTTTAAAGAGTTGAATACGAGGAAATCTAAATAGATTTGAATGAATCATTTAAACAAATCAAACTGTGCATCTGTAGAATGATTACAATGGATTAGATGTTCAAGTATAGAAATTGTAACTGCTTTCCTTTCATCCTTGTTGAAGTAAACTGAGATATGTTCTCGTATCCTAGTTGTAAGCGAGCGCTGACTACGGTCAATGTACCTTGCTTCACAAGAGTAGGTGAACTGGTAGATGCACACAGAGGCAATAAGACGTGGAAGCTTATCTTTTATGGATACAGAAAATAAGTTCTTACTGGTTAAGGTTATTGGCAGCATTAAATGTCCTTTTAATTATTGTTTTGTTAGACGATTTTTGATTACGTCTGATGTTCAATCACTTTTAAATCCCAGACTTCTATAAAGGTTTTTCTTTGGGATGGAACAACTAGGTTTCATATCGAAACTATTTCTATTCAAATTCTTCTCTATGAAACGGTCTGGGAAGTCATTTTTCATCAAGGTTTTCTTAAGCAACGCGAGATCTTCGTTAATGTATTCCGTACTACATATCCGATGTATACGATATCATAAAGAATGAATCACGCTCCTCTTTCTACTTAACAGAACCCAGTTATAGAAGTTTGTTAGTTGGCTATTCCATTGTCCATTGTTCCATACTATTTATTACACCAATGCTAAAACTCTAATACATATTTAGTTGTAGGCAGCTGATGAAAAACCACGAAATATAATGAATTCATACTATTCTGCATCAATATTTGCTCTGTCTTTATTTAAATTCATAAAGGGAACTAACTGCATGATATTCCATGTTTGTTTTCTAAAGATGGATCTTATTAAAAAAAACACCATTACTTCTTCTCATCAGACGTACATCAAGTAAAGAGATTGATTAGTCTCGATCGCTTTCTAACATGAAGCCCACAAATGCCCTGGTACTACCGAGAGTTGGAAGAGTCAGCTCTCCCTCTCCAAATGCTCTCAAATGGTCACGTCAATATATAGTCTCTCTCAGGGAAGTCCTACTCACTATATTCTCGTGGCGGAGGTGTTGTTTACGGAATTGAGAGGACAAAAAGCGAATGTCCGGCGCTTTAACCAAACTGATGGATATGGGGGATCCACCTAAGGGAATTGGAAAACCCTGATTCCAAATCAATTGTACACATGAGCTCCAGTATCCTGAAGGAACAAATGCCGTATGAATCAATCGTTGGTCACCGGCTATCATGGGTCTGCATCTCCTCATGATGCTCCACTGCCTTATGGATCAAACATTTATGTCAAAGGCTCGGGGTGTTGCCTACTAAGAAAACTACCTGCTTCAGTTTGGACACCAGGACAGTATCCCAGCCCTCACACAAATCAAATGAGATTTGTGTGGCGCATATGTATCTGGTGCTTCCTTTGTACCAATATTTATGTGTTTAAATAAATAGATCAATAAATAAATGGAAGGGTTACATGAGTCAAAGGAGTGTAAGATATCCTCTCAATCACCATTATCATCACAAATAACAAATATGTCATCCATTTAATCTTACATTTAACTGAAATCGATTGATCATTGAACTGAGTTATTCGTTTTCTTGTTTTACTAATAAAACATTCTACTAGAATATATAAAAAAATATCTCATCATTAAATCATTGAAAATTGTTTATTTTAGTGTGTGTGTGTGTGTGTGATTAACTTTATTCATATACAATAATCACTAGGTGTAAACAAACACAATATACTTGTTATTGATATTATAATAATAATCAATATTATTATTATTATTATTATTATTATTAGTAGTAGTAGTAGTAGTAGTAGTAATAGTATTGATCTTATTGATCTAATTACATTTCAATAATCAATACCAATTTTATACAAACTATCTAAATTATGTGTATTGATCTTTTTATTGTGAATAAATAGATAATTAAAAAAACAATAAATTTTTGAGGGGGGGGGGTACGGAGAGGAGGAAGGGGGGGGAATAAATGATAGATTAGATAGTTTAATTCAATTTATTACAAAATATTTAATACTTTGATATTTAATTATATAAAAAATATATATTAATCTTGTCCTCTATCTTACTCTATTTATGTTTATCTCTATGGGTTTGAATTGTACTGATTTATTCATGTATACAATTTGTTATGTAGTAGGGAACACATAAGTACGGGTAACTTGCAGGACCTACTATTCGACTATCATTCTTATTGTATAACTATTCGGTAACTAGATTATCTATATCTATATTCATCTTATTGTAATCTTCATTTTGACCTATTGATTATTACTATATGATTTACTGTCCCTATGTTATGCTCAGTATTATTGATTATTGTCTCCCACGCTTATAGCCTCATTTGGCTTGATTTTGTACAAATATTATTTTCTATTTTATGGTGTGGCGGCCTTCGGTCCAGCACGTTTTAACTTTGTGTTTCTATCATGACTACGTTCGGTGCAAAACTGGAGCATCTTTTATGCTCAAGGGCTGAAATTATCAGCCGAATGCACAGGCCCCCACCAGCTGAAGGGAATGATTTGGAACGCCTTTTGAACCTACCTCCGAACACAAACTCGGCAATACAGGCGCCATCACCCAATGTTCCAGTTTGGCCGGATGAACAGGCAGCAGCATTTTGCGCAGTTGCTCCTTCTATTGAAACATTCATGGATGTTCCTGATGAAATCCGTCGGAACCAATTTTATGCTACATGTCGACATGATGATGTATTAGTGGGTGTTATCAGTGTTATACAAGATTCAGGTCTTGTAGTCTCTATTCTGGCATATGATCAAGGACCTCGACGGGTAAAAAAAAAATACAAGAATTGGGAATTCGAGTGCTAGATCGGGGTTGGAATAAAGGGATTCCAGTTGTCTTTGTCTTCTCTCTCTCTCTCGTGCTTGCCAGCCAATCAGGGATAGAATAGTTTTCGTCTCTCTACCCCTATTTCGAACTCACGCATATTAGCCTCAACGTTAAGCCAGTCAGCCTATCGTGTCAAGGTCTTGATCTACATTATACTCGGCACTAAGTGGATAGACAGATTCAAGGACGTAACATAATTGAAATCATGAGTTAATTGAAGCTAGATCACCATGGAAAACCTGGAAGCAATGGATGACTGTTTCGTCCTATTGCGGAACCCATCAGCAATACGCATCCATGATCACACCTCACAAAATTCAGACAAATGACCTATTAGTCTCGTGCGCGAGCACTTAACCTCTAGATCACTCAGTCAGCATTCAACGGTGTTAATGTCTAAATTCAAGAAAATTGAGCCATCTTCCAATATTGTCTTCATTGAATTACTACCTCACAACAAACCCGGTCGAATTCCAATGGTCATTGATTCTTGCACGTGAGACTGATAGATCTTGTGTTTGAATCTCGTAAGGCGGGATCGTGAATGCTCACGGCTGACGTGTCCCACGATATGACAAAACAGTCGTCTGGTGATTCCAGGTTTTCCATGGTGATCTAGCTTCAATTGACTAATGATCTCAACTATATAAATTGAACTATCTTAATTGTACTCTATCATTATTATCTATAATCATCACTATCACGTTAATTGAGAGATGAATACAGACCAAGAATATAAAAAATGTGTTAACTGATTAAAACTGTAAGTTAGTCAAGGTCAAGTTTATAAATGACCCTAAAACGTGTTACTGTTCATTATGATGGTGGTAATTTTGCTAATATCAAACTTGAACACATATTGAATATTGATTAAACTGATCAATATAATGTAAAAATGAAGGTATAGGTGATTAGGTTTAAAAGGTTTTGAAATCTAGAGGGCAATGGACACTTTATTGTTCTAGAAAGAATAGTACTTATTTACTTACGCCTGTTACTCCCAATGGAGCATAGGCAGCTGACCAACATTCTCCAACCCACACTGTCCTACCCCCTCCTTTCCAGTACAATCCATCTTTTGTTCATTCTTCTCATGTCTGTCTCTATTTTTCGGCGTAATGTGTCCTTTGGTCTTCCACTTCTCCTTTGACCTTCAGGATTCCATGTGAGGGCTCGTCTTGTGACGCAGTTGGGTAATTTCCTCAATGTGTTCCCAATCCACTTCCAGCGCTTTTTTTTGATTTCTTTCTCCGCTGAAATCCGGTTTGTTTTCTCCCACAGTAGGTTGTTTCTGATAGTGTCTGGCCAACGGATCCGAGGTATCTTGCGTAAACAACTGTTAATAAACACCTGTATCTTCTGGATGATGGCTTTCGTAGTTTCCCACGTCTCGCTCCATACAGTAGAACTGTCTTGACATTTGTATTGAAAATTCTGATCTTGGTGTTGGTTGATAGTTGTTTTGTATTCTAAATGTTGTTCAGTTGTAAATATGCTGCTCTTGCATTGTCGATCCGCGTTTTCACATCTTCATCAGATCCACTGAGAAAGAATAGTAATGGACTGAATTAGTTGATTATTGTAACATTGATTATGTTACACTGTATGACTCGGATTAAAAATCTCATATGAAGCATCAGTTCCAGTAAAATTCAGATATAAGTTATTAACGAATACAAAGTAATAGGAAATGTAGGTTTCGGCCTACTTACTTGTTATATTCAACTACTTAATATCACAATATACTGAGATTCTGATGGATTAATTACATAATTAAATTTTGAACAAACAATAACTATACAACTTACTAAAATCTCCACAAAACCCCCTTCTGATAATAATCATATGCTCACTAGTGACTGGCCCCATTAGGTATTTTCTTAAGTTCTAGTATGAAGCTCTGACAAGTGGGGTTCAACCAGGTCTGTTGTGAGATATCAACTCACTGAAGACAATGGTGGATGTGTCGCTCAATTTCATGGATCTGCAGAAATTAGACATTAACACCGTTGGATGCGAGCCGTCTCAGTGGTTTAATGCTTAAGCGCTCACGTACGAAACTAATAGGTCCTGTGTTCGAATCTCGTGAGGTGTGATGCGCTTTGCTGAGGAATCCCACAATATGACGAAGCGGCCGTCCAGTGCTTCTGGATTTTCTATGTTGGCCTAGCTTCAATTGACTAATGGTTTTATCTATATAAAACCACAGATGAGTTGAACTCATCATTACATATTCAATAGGTCATTCTGTGTGTAGCCAATTTATAAATGTCATTATCAACCAACCATTAACAATCTTGTATATTTGACTTATTGTTTAAGACACATGCATATTCTAATTTTGAACGACTTCACCTATCCTTATTATGATCAACTGATTTGATATAAACCATAGATGCATTCTAATTATTTCAATCTATTCCTATTATTTTCCAATCTTTCTTTCACAAGACAATGTACAATTAAAACTTTCTATATTTAGAACAATATATATAAGCGAACAATATTGTTTTCGATTAGATCCTCATCAGGCTTTACTATAATATACAGTAATATTTGTATGAATATACGAAATTATTAAACCAAATCAATCTCTAACCCCATTCCCAAACCTCTTCCTTTACCCGGGCTTAGGACCGGCTGTAACTCTAGAAGAGCTACAGGCGGAGTTAAGACAGTTTATGAGACAGTGATAACAGTAGAATAGATTACATAACTAAACATAATACGTAAAGAGTATACCTTAATTGAGTAATGACAGGTTATATAATGGGAAATAGATCAATGACTTAAAAAATATAAACACTGAAGTAACATTCATAACAATTATAAGATTACGTAATCAGAAGTGTTCAAATAATTGGATCGTTAAACTTAGATTTCAGAAAAGAATAACCATAGATCGGGTCGAGTACAATAGACAGAGGTTGGCTGCATTAAACATTCTCTTTACTTCACTTGATTGGTTTAATAATTTTGTATATTCATATTGATATTACTGTATATTAGAGTAAAGTCTGATGAGGATCTAATCGAAAATAATAACATTCTTATAATGTAACTAAAATATAAGAATGAACCAATCAGAATGAAGTAAATGACTTTGGGGTTTCTTCGGAAAAATTTACAGAAAAATGAAGAATTAGTGACGCTCATCATAGGAAAAGATATTGGAAGTGGACAGGATATGCATTAAGGAAATCACCAATGTGCATTACAAGGCAATCCCTAACTTGGAATCCGGAAGGGAAGCGGAAAAGAGGAAGACCAAATAACACATTACGTCGGGGAATAGAAGATATGAAAGGGACGGATAGAAACTAGAAGGAACTGGAAAGGAAGGCTCAGGACGGAGTTGGATGGAAAATGTTGGTGAGTGGCCTATGCTCCTCGACGAGGGGTAACAGGCATAAGTAAGTAAATAAGTAATTATCACATACTCAGTAAAATGAACAACTAAAAAATACTATTTACTAATAAAGCTTGTGACTTCAGGCAGTATCGAAGCCGTCGGCGCAGGATGCACATATGCCAACAAGAGATTGATCAATTTCAATCCTAAATAACAATGGGAAGATACATGTAAAACAACATCAAGCGAATTTAAACTTCACTCTATTGTACAAGCAAGTGGCTATCAGGACTCAGTAGCTAAGTGGATAACGCGATGGCGTTTGAAGCGAACAGTACAGAATTCAAGTCCCTGAGATTCATGTACATCCAGCTGAGGAGTCCCGAATTGGACAAAACGCGTGGCCTGGATTCCACTGCTAGCCACTTTTTTTATAGTTATTGCAGTGTTTTAAATTACAAAGAGAAATTTCTTTTTATCATTATGGAGTGATTAAGAAAAAATATTAAACATTTCAGATTTTTTTTTTATTTTTTGGCATGTTACTATGTAAACTGTATATCAAATCTAAATCTTTAAGCTTTTGATTTAACTTACTCTATTTATAGTAAGTTGTTAAATAAATTAATTCATTTTGATTCAGTTTTGTTCTCTGAGCTGAATGGTTTAATCGTAGAGCTTTCATCGGCCTTCTGAACGACATTATCAGTAGAGACTTTTACCGGAAGTTTATGCAGATGATGTCGTTTAGTAAGACGATGAAAGTTCCATGACCAAACCATCCAGCTCAGAGAACAAAACTCCAAAATCATTCACCTGAGCTACAAATCTTCTTCACCAAATCAATTCATTATTTATTCATTTTAAATAAAAGACGAATCGATAAATTAAGAATGTTCGAACACTTCACTTCTGCGTGAAGTTTATGCTGATGATATCGTTTAGGAGAATGCTGAATGCTCCATGACTGAACTATCCAGATCACAGAATAAAACTCTATCAAAAAAGGAATGTTAAGATAGACAATCGTTTATACGGATAATTTCCATATATGATTAATGATCTTATAACTTATCTCATCAACTATTCAGTAAATTTATCAAATTATTGTTTTATTATCGTTGAATAATAATAATAATAATAATATGCTCACTAGTGAATGGCTTCAAGAGATCATTCCTGGAGTTCTAGTGAAAAGCAATAACCAGTGGAGTTCAACAAGGTCTGTTGTGAGATATCAATTCACTGAAGACAATGGTGAATGTGTAGCTCAATTTCATGGATCGGTTCAAATTAGACATTAATACCGTTGAATGCTGGCCGTCTGAGTGGTCTAGAGGTTAAGTGCTCGCGTACAAGATTGATAGGTCCTATTATCGAATCTCGCGAGATGGGATCGTGAATGCACAATGCTGAGGAATCTCACAAGAAAGATTTTGTAAACGATAATTCATTTTTTATAAAACTATTTATAGATGTAAAAGAGATATTGAAGTAAACATTCAATAAAAGTTATTTTCTCACTAAAGAGATAGTACTTGAGATGATGTAAGTGATAAAATGTCAACAATATTATGATTGGAAAATCGGTCATGTATTTTGAACAAAACAAAACAAGCAAACTTCTTAGAACGATTAAATTCTAATAGGTTTTATCAATGGTGACATAATTTATACAAACTGTTCATTCATAGAATTCACTTAGTATTGTTTGTTTGGATCTTCCCATCGATGTGTTTTTAGGACTGCAACTGGTCAGTCTCTAATTGGCATATGTGCATACTGTGCGTATTGCCTCGATATACCCTAAATTCACAAGCATGGTAAGCAGAGATGGATTAATAAATGGTTTTAAACTCATAAGGTCATTATACAGTTTTATTTAAGTATATCTCGTATATATATATATATATGAGGACGACCCATGGTTGAACTCAAGAAAGCTGTCAAAAGCTCAAAAGTAAACGAAGATTTTAATGGAATTTTTTTCTCTGAGCTGGATAGTTTAGTCGTGGAGATTTCATCATTTTTTTTGAACAACATCATCAGCAAAAACTTCAGGTACACAAAATTCTACTCAAAGTTTGTGCTAATGATATCATTCAGAAGAACGATAAAAGCCTCACGACCAAACCATCTAGCTCAGAGAAGAAAACTCTATCAAAATTATTCACTTGTGCTCCAAATCTTCTTCACAATCTCAACAGCCAAAGATATTCTATCCAATCATCTTTTTCTTGAAAGTATATTCCAAAATCTCTACGTGTAGTTTCCTTATTGAAAAAATGATAAAACTTCCTCCATATGGATTGGATGACTATAATGATAATTTCGTTTTTACTAAGAAAAACCCTGATAGTTTTATACTATATTTGATACTGTTTGGAATAGTATTCTTTTCACTTGTCTTCTGTCTTCTCATTTACGTCTTGGAGGATTATAGCATTCGAGTACTCAAGTTGTATGAGGTATATTAAGAATCTAAAGGTCTAGGTATATTTACTTACGCCTGTTACCCCTCGTCGAGGAGGAGCATAGGCCACACACCACCATTCTTCATCCAACCCTGTCCTTGCCAATCATTTACAGTTATTTCCAGTTAACATTCATCCTTTTCATATCTGCTTCTATTTTCTGGCGTAATGTGTTCTTTGGCCTTCCTCTATTCCGCTTCCCTTCATCATTCCAAGTTAGCGCTTGCCTCTTGATGCAGTTTGGTGATTTTCTTAATGTATGTCCTGTCCACTTCCAACGTCTTTTTCGTAGTTTCCTCTTCATCTGAAAGCTGCTCTGTCCTCTCACACAGTAGGTTGTTGCTGATGGTATCTGTCTAGTGATTGTTGAGTATTTTGCGTAGACAACTATTTATAAATACTTGTACCTTCTTGACGATGGTTGCAGTAATTCTTCACGTTTCAGCTCCGTACAGTAGAACTGACTGTCTTGATATTCTCACTTTGAATTTAGTCGACAGTTGTTTGGAGTTCCATATGTTCTTCAATTGTAGGAATGCTGCCCGTGATTTGCCAATTCTCGCCTTTACATCTGCATCCGATCCTCCTTGTTTATCAATGATGCTTCCTCTGTTGCCAGACATATAATTGAAACAGGTCATAATATTGATGTTAAATCAGCTTTTTTAGTGTTATACAAAAGTGCAAAAAGGCATATACAAAGTTTTATTGAAGCCTTAGCCATGCGAAAATTCAAACCCCCTTTGTGTATTCAAAAACAGTTTGTTCTTACCTTAAACCTATCCTGAGAATATTAGCTTATTATCCACAGTGATTAGGTTTTAAATTGTTTTCACATTATTTTCTTTATTACCCTTGTCTCCTCTTACCATCATTTCTAGTCTAATTAACCTTTTATTTTTATAGATAAATGTTTTTCATGAGTCAATTGAATCTAGATCACCATGGAAAACCTGGAAGCACTGGACAACCGTCTCGTCATACTGTGCGACTCATCAGCAGTGAGAATCCACGAGCTTTTATCACGAGATTCGAACACTGGACCTATCAGTCTCATGTGCGAGTGCTTAACCTGTAAACCACTCAGTCGGTATCCAATGACATTAATGTTTAACTTCAACAGATCAAGGAAATTGTGCAACCGTTCACCAATGTCTTCAGTGAATTACTATCTCACAACAGCCTCTGTTGAACTCCACATTTTCCATGGTGGTCTAGCTTCAACTGACTTATGAATCCAACTATAAAATTACTAAAGTCTCCACAAAACCCCTTCTGATAAATGTTCTGAACAAGTATATTACACGTAATCAGATTGCTTGAAATGTCTTACTTTAATATATCACACAGTTCTAATAAATTCCATCTTCTTATTACACTATCCAAATTTATGAAATGAACTAACTACTTTCAATTTCTTAAAAGAAAACTCCTTACACATATAGAATTCACTAAAAATATGAAGTACACTAGTAGTAGTAGTTTTTGTAGTAGATTATTGATTTGGAATCAGGGTTTACCAACTCCCCTAAGTGAACCTTCCGTGTCCACCGACCCTGTTAAAGCACCGAACATTCGCTTTTCATCCTCTTAATTTCGTAAACAACAGTAATGCTACGAGAAGGTAGTGAGTAGGACTTCCATGTCAAAGGATATATACACGTGGCCATATGAGAGCATTTGGAGATGGAAAGCTGACTCTCCCCACTCTCATCTGTACCAGGGCATTTGAGGAAAGTATTTCTCTTCATTTTCTATGGATGTTCTTATTTCTATTTTTTTTTTCTTTTTTTTTTAAATTTAGCAAGTTGGAATTAAAATTTTTATTGAATCAAGATAATACTATTCATGATATTTCAAAATATGGTAAAGTGGCTAAAGTAAGTTATAAACAAATAATTTCATCAATATATTTTTCACAATTCATTTTTATAAATTTAAATAGTTGCTGGCGGTAAATCTAAGATATTGTTTACATTTTAAAAGTCATATATTCCTGGATCTTAGTGTTTATATTTACCACTAAGTGTTGAATGAAGTACCTTTCATCTTAAACGACAATCTGTTAACTATTGAGCTAAATAATCCTAATAGCTACTAGCTTGAACAAACGGAATGTATTTTATTTGATAAGTAGGTAAGGTAAGTCAAGCTGATAGGTTTGAAACAGAACGAATTTCGTGCTTAGTATTCCACTGTTAACCACTATTCGAATTGCGGCTTAATAGAAAGATCAAAGAGCTCAGCGTGGGATTTATTTATTTATTTATTTACTTAAACACATAACAATTGGTACAAGGAGGCACCAGATACATATGCGCTACACAAATCTCATTCGATTTGTGTGTGGGCCATGATACTGCCCGGGTGCCCAGACCGAGTCAAGTGGTTTATTAAGGGGGTTAAATCCGGAGCCTTTGACCTACAAGCCTATTCCATGAGGCAGTGAAGCAACGTAAGGAGATGCAGCCTCACGGTAGCCGATGACCAAAAACTGGTTTATATGCCATTCTTTTAATCAGGATCCTTAACACTGTGTGCACCATTGGTTTGGAATCAGGGTTTTCCAACTCCCTTAGGTGGACACCCCACATCCACCAACCCGGTTAAAGCACCGGACATTCGCTTTTCATTTTCTCAATTTCGTGAACAACACCCCCATCTTGAGAAGGCAGTGAGTAGGACTTACCTGTCAGTGGCTGTATACGTATAGTCATGTGAAGACATTTGGAGAGGAAGAGTGTAATCACAATTGATTGACCACTGGGTGGTGATCAATCTCATGCATGTTAGGTCCTTCTTAGTGCTGATCGAATGCTATCGATCGAGTTGCAATGTGGCCACCAGTCTAGGTGGCTCGACACTGCTTGCACTATATATACTGAGGTAAAATGGTGGTTGGAGGTGGTCAACAGGAAACCCTGGACCTGTATTTCGTGCTACTTGGCACTCGTCAGCTAGGTGTACATGTAATCCAGAAGGAACTGATGCTCCCTGGCGGATTCGATCCCTCGTCACTCAGCTTCACAGTCAGCAATAAGAATGATCTGGCATGCATGAGATTGATCACCACCCAGTGGTCAATCAATTGTGATTACATCTCAGTCCCACAGGAGGTTAGTCGCGGCCCGAATAGCTCAGTGGTAACGTCTCTGACTGTGAATCTGAGTGACGCGGGGTCGAATCCGCCAGGGAGCATCAGTTCCTTCAGGATTACAGGTACACCTTGCTGACGAGTGCCAAGTAGCACGAAACCGGGGTCCAGGGTTTCCTGTTGACCACCTCCAACCACCATCTTACCTCAGGAAGAGTGTACTCTCCCACTCTCTGCCGTATTAAGGCATTAGGGGGCTGATCATTTGCAGTCTCTAATACTAAAAACAAGAAAGCTTTAGCTCTCACATAGATTAGGAAATGATAATACGCTCAAATATTTCGTCTGTTGCTTATTCAACAAAAATAATTCAAACATTTCTACAAAAAGATTGGTTATGTGTCATATTATGATTAGATAACTGCCAAAGTTATTATCAATTTTGACACGTTTCTAGGTGCTACGGAGATACGAAGGTCGTTAATGAGCCTGAAAATACTTCTGTTCCCTGTACATAGACTAACCTTGAAACTAAAGCTTACTTTCATATTTCCTACTTTTTGTCTTTTGTTTGAGGGTTAAAATGTAGAAAATGTTTATTGAACGAGAAAAGGATTAGAAGTGATTGTCAGGTGTTCAGGTGGTAGCTTTATTATTTTAAATATTATATCAACTAAAACTGATGTCAGTTAAAACAACCGCGCCTAGATTATTGAATATCTCACTAGTTGAGATCATTAGCCAATGGAAGCTAGACAACCATGGAAAACCTGGAAGCACTGGACGGCCGTTTCATCCTATTGTGGAACTCCTTGGTGGTCTAGCTTCAATTGACTCATGATCTCAACTATTGAAATTACTATAATATCCACAAAACCGCTTCTAGTATTGAATATCGATTTAAACTTTACATTAAAACTCTTAATCCCTACAAACACTATGCCGGACCAGAGTAACATGAATTACCATACTTCTGAATTACTGAGTCAGTATTCAATTGTCTATACTTTTAAATTGAATCAGGTTGTTTGCGCATATTTTTGAGGGAGTGAGTTATACACGGCCATTTTATAAATAGTTTTCAAGTGTTATATATGAACTTATAAGGCCACATTATAAGTGGCCGAAAATCGACGATGCAAAATGAGATGATAACTTCCTCCCAAGCAAATTTAAGTCCTGGTGCAATCCCGACCATTGCTGCTAACTTGACGTGGTGGTCGGGCTTGCTTATCGTGATGATCCAATCGAGCTATACTGGGTGGAACAATCGTTCCTCAAGGTCCTACCATCCCAGGCAGGTCGTTTGAAGAGCGGTGAGACTAAAAGCAGCAAACCCAAGTTCCGAAGGCGAAGTCGTACTGCCGACTGTACAGAGGTGCGACGGCAGTAAGGTGTTTCCTTCAGAAAACTAGCATGACAGTGATGCTGCCTTCCCACAAGGATGGTTGGGGTTAGAAAAGGTCGACCCTAAAACTGCACACCTCACCTTATCCCACGGATATCCGTCTCCGGCGGTAAGGCCCCAAGAAGTACGGAGCTAACACAAAAATAATCCACAAAAAACTCGTGTGTGATCGACCTCAAGCAGTTGTCCCTTGGGCACTGCGGTCACATTCACAGATCTTTAAGACCACTTCTAATCCAATTTCCTTTTCAAGTACCTCTAGAAGAACCCTTTCATGGTGTGGGCAACCGAGAACTGATAACTGATATCATACCACTAACAACACTCAAAACCACTGTATTCATATTGACTGACTGACATCACCATATACTACTTATATGGATATAAGTAGACCACTCCACCACAATACTACTTAAATAAACTCAATAATTACTTTTTAATTTGATCACAAAAATCAATAAATAACTCATTTAAATTTTAAATCATTAAATATCACACTGTTTGTTTGTCTGTGTGTTTGTTTATTTGTGCGTTTGTTTGTTTGCATGTATGTTTTTTTTTGTTTGTTTCTTAATTTGTGAAATTTCATTTTATTTATTGATTAAAAAAATTTTTCATTTTTTTTTTATTCAGATAAATTTTTTTTGGTGTGTATTAATGAATTTTTTTTTTAAAACGAAAAAAATCAATAATAATTTTTTTTATTTATTTTAGACAATTATTACTAAAAATGGTTTACAAAAATTATTTGTCATTCGAGGACGTGTTATTGATACACGAATACAATTTCATTATTTAAAATTTAAAAATAATACATTAATTAGTTGCCATGGTGATAATGATATTGGTGATAATAATGAAGAAGATATTGATTTCATGAAAAATCATAAATTTAAATTACGATTTAAACCATTTACAATATTTGGTGGAATATGTACACCAGCTATTGGGTAAATTATATATATATATATATATATATATATATATATATATTTCTTTGTATTTATTGATTGATTGTTGTTCAAAAGTATTAAGATGATGGTTGAAGGTGATCAACAATGTCAAGCCACCTGGACTCGTGGCCACAGTGCAACTTGATCGATAGCATTCGATTTGCATTAAGAAGGCTAGACACACATAACATTGATCATCACCTAGTAGTCAATCAATTGTGATTGCATCTCAGGACTACAGGAGGTCGGTCTCGGATAGGATAGCTCAGTGGTTACGTCTCTGATTGTAAAGCTGATTGACACGGGGTCGTATCCGTCAGAGAGCACCAATTCCCTTTAGATTACAGGTACACCTTGCTGACGAGTGCCAAGAAGCAGAAAACCCAGATCTAGGGTTTCCTGTTGACCACCTCCAACCATTATCTTATCTCAACATAGTGCACGCAATGTCCAGCTACGTAGACTAGTGGCTACATAGCGTTCGATCTGCTCTAAGTAGTTTTCTTTAAAGGATTATATGGATTTTAGCGCGAAATTTTAATGATCTCAATATATTACTAATTACTAATTAAAATTATATTATGAATTTATAAGCAAAGATAGATAGTGGTTAGAAGTGGAAATTAGGATGTGCGTTTCGTCCTATTTGGGACTCGTCAGTTGGATATACCGATATCCAAGATTCGAAAAATGCCATTGTATCGTCCACTCAGATGAAGAGTACCAAATAGAATGAAACGTGCATCAAACTGGATTTCACTGCTAACAACTATCCATCTTTACTTATAATGCTTGTGAATTGGGGCAATATAGATACAATACGCATAGTATGCACATATGCCAACAAGAGACTGATCAGTTGCGGTCCTAAATAACAATGGGAAGATTCAAGTAAACAACAAGACTGTTAGGTCTTAGGTTTGAATCTCATGAGGTGGGATCGTGGATGCTCACTGCTTAGGAATCCCAAAATATGACGAAATGACCTTTCAGTACTTCCACGTTTTTCATGGTGGTCTAGCTTCAATTGTCTCATAATTTCAATTATAATTTGTTTGTTTGTATATTTTTTCTCCTAATCACCTTATCCTATCCTTTTTATTTGTCTTCCATTTCAGCTATAATGATCCAATGCAAATACCAAATCTATTAACAAAACAAGAACAATTATGTTTTATCCAAGCTGTACAAAATGATACTACTACTAATAATAATATAACATATAAATTAATGAATGATGGTTATTTAGTTATGGAAATAGATTTTCATCATTTTTGTGATATTTATCATTTAGTATTCCCTTTTCTTAATTCTAAATGCCCAAGTACATGGAAAAAAGATGTACATATAACAGTTACATTGATTGATGAATATGAGTAAGTTACTCATGGATCTTTGTTATCCATCTAGATATATATGTAATTCTCAGAAGGGGTTTTGTGAAGTTCTCAGTATTTGTCATGGTTGGAATCATGAATCAGTTGAAGCTACAACACCATGGAAAACCTGGTCGGTCGTTTCGTCCTATTGTGGAACTCATCAGCGTTGCGCATCTACGATCCTGCCTCATGAGATTCGAACACAGGACCTATCAGTCTCGTGCCAGAGCGCTTAACCACTAGACCATTGATCCGGTATCCGATGATGTTAAATTCAACCGATCAACGAAATTGAACAACCTTTCACCATTGTCTTCAGTGAGCTGATATCTCACAACAAACCCAGTTGAACTCTATTAGTCAATGCTGCCCGCACATGAGGGTGATAGGTCTTGGGTTGGAATCTCGTGAGGCAGGATCGTGGATGAGCACTGCTGATGAGTTCCACAACATGACGAGACGGTTGTTCAGTGCTTCTAGGTTTTCCATGGTGGTCTAGCTTCAATTGACTAATGAATTCAACTATAAAAATTATTATGTAATTCTATTTTAATGAAAACTTTCTTGTTATCAGTTATCATGTAAATGTATTTATGAATTTAAAATGATTCTTTTCCCTTTTTTATAGCACTTAAAGATGAGATTAGCAAATGGCAAGTTTAAAAGTCTTACTATTAACGAACGTCTGGAGCTTATGAAGAACTGATTTCATTTTTGGAGTGTTCATACCATAAGAATAAGACAACAGCGATGTTCAAATAAGCTTATCAGTTTAAAATCTGTTTACAGTCAATGAGATGACAGTTTGTATAAATCGAAAGTATTCCCCATCAACTAGTTATAAAAGCCGAGAGTGGGGAGAGTCCGCTCTCCCTCTCCAAATGCTCTCATATGGATGCGCATATATAGCCTCTGTCAGGGAATTCCTACTCACTGCCTTCTCGTGGCGGGGGTGTTGTTTACGAAATTGAAAGGACGAAAACCGAATGTCCAGTGCTTTAACCGGGTTGCTGGACACGGAAAGTTTAACTAGGGGAGTTGGTAAACCCTGATTCCAAACCAATGGTGCACATGGGCTCCAGTATCCTGAATTATTAAATGGCGTATCAACCAACTGTTGGTCACCGACTACCATGGGCTGAATCTCCTCACGATGCTCCATTACCTTGTGGGTTAGACCTTTAGGTCAAAGGCTCCGGGTGTGGCCGCCTAAGAAAACCACCTGCTTCAGTTTGGGCACCTGGGCAGTATCACAGCCCTCACACAAATCGAATGAGATTTGTGAGACGCATATTTATCTGGTGCTTCCTCATACCAATATTTATGTGTTTAAATAAATAAATCAATATAGCAAGTAAACCTTGGTGATGAGTGTCAGATAGTTCAAAACTCAGATCAAGCACGGTTTGCTGTTGAATACCTCCATCGACTTAACAAATTAACATGATGCATTTGATGTTGAATCAGTTAGACTAGCTGTCTGATTGCAACTTGATCAACAGGATTAAATTATCACTAAAGGATTAGACAAATATTACATTGGTTATTATTCAGTTGTTCGTCAATATAAACACTAGGTTCCCTATACTTTGTTTATATTTGCGGGTATTCGTTCGTTTATCAAGATTCTTTGTACAAATGTTTCTAGCTAACAACCGTTTTGATGTTAAATTGGGCACCGATGAAATAGTTTGCAAGTCATTTCCTATCCTTTTTTTTCCAGTAATGAACTAAGTAGCACTGAATTTGAAGTTGTCAGTTGTGCCAGTCCTATACGTGATGCACGTCGTTATCAACAACGTCAACGTATAGCAGAAGTGGAATTTACAGAAAAGAATTTGCATAAAACTACTGTCAATACTGACAGTTTATTTGAATGGGATCATCAGACAAGTCAATCAGTTTCCCAATCCACATCAAAACTCAGCATTTCTGATATCAGCCCCAGTTCGTCTGGTTTTGGTAGTCTTTATTCTCCTCTACCATCGATCACATCTGAAGAAGATCATTTCAACGAATTACAACTTTACCTAGCTCGAAATGAGGCATCCACTCCATCGCATCATATAACTGCCTCTGTTACTACAGATTCTATTGGTACTATTAACAATAATAATAGTAGTATCAGTGATGGGGATAATCAAAAGTCCGATATTTTATCACCATCGACGTCGAATGATGAATTAATTGACTTGTCTAATTGGGACCGGTTGAAGAAGCTGAAACATAAACGTTTGATTAGTAATTTGACCGATTCATATACCACTGAACGTAATCCACGAAACCTATTCAAACAGTCGACTCAACAAATGAGCTCTAAGACCATGAATTCAAAATATGCAATGAAGCGACAGGTGAAAGGTAAGCAGTGCTAAACGTAAGAGTAAATTATCTGAGAATTAAGAAAAACTATTTGAAACCAATACAGGAGTAAGGTATGAAAGCGCCTATTAGGTCGTCAGTAATGGCCTATTATCATAAACGATTGTCATAGTTGACGCGATCGAACAAACCTGAGGACCTAGGTTCCACACCTCTTGGTACTTATCACGAAGGTGTGTCTGGTATTTTAAGGCAAATAATGTTTTATTTAAGTTTCAAACTCATACTAACCAGTGCACGGTTGAATTTGTTACATATCTATGATTCAGACCACTCAGTGAATATTAAAATATGGAAGTTTAAATGTTTGTTGGTGGTCACCATGAAAGACTTCAAGGGGTTGATCGATGGTTTTAGTTAATATTCTGTTAATCATAATGAATATGACATTCGATTGATAGTATTCAGCTTAACTTGACACCCATCTGCAAAGTGTACCTGTAATGTTGAGAGAACTAACGCTCTCTGGCGAATTTGATTCTCGGCCCCTATAGCTTAACTGTAACGTCACTGACTGTCAAGCTGGGTGACATATGATCTATCTAATCTATCAGGAAGCATCGGTACCCTTCTCAACCTTGCTGACTAGTGTCAAATAGAACGAAACCAAGGTTCATGATTTCTTATAGACTATCTCTAACCTCTATTTCATACCTCAACATAGTGCATGCGTTGTTGAGTCACCTAGATTAGCGATTACGTTGCAACTTGAATAATAGAATTCGATTTACGTTATGTGTTTTGAATCCACTTCCAATCAGTCTGTCATATTAATATTCATAACTACTACACGTTTAAAACAACATTTATGATAGTAACTATTGAGGAACTGGAGAGACTGTAATTTATAGACGATCTTTGAACGAATTTTAAGTGACCTTGAGAAATATTATCCAATCAGAAGACTTTTAGTATAGAGTAAAAATACATCATACAACACCAAAGAATTAGAAAGGATACACTTCTTTTACATGGTCCAAAAACTTGTCAAGGTTAGAAAGACCTTCAAAGGTTTCAAAATCTTAATGCATAAGGTAGAGGAACTCATCCGTATGGTTCCATAATACTCAGTCTTTGGAGCTATGATAAGATCACAAAAGCTCTATCAGCCTCGACCACATAGCTTCAATACTGTTTGTATGTACTCCAGTTGTGTAAGTTTGTCATTTTTATTACGCATATATCCTTACAACACTGATACTGTGGTGTGGTCTACTTATATCCACATAAGTAGTATATGGTGTGGGTCAGACATAGAATGTATTTTCGCAGAAGACCGATGAGCAAAGAACTGAAATGAAGCGCAATCGTTTGAAAAATGCATGAGCAATGGAATTAAAGAAGAAACAGTGAAGATCAAAACTATTGGTTGTTAATTTGCAAATTGACTGTTCATTGTTTGGTTATCAGAATTTACTGAGATAGTCTGTAATCTTTGCTTAAATACATTCGATTGTCCCTAATCAGTGTTCTGTTCTCTACAATACCTCTGAACAGCCGAAGCATCAGTAACATCTGCGATTATTACAGCCAATCTTACTGGTGCATTTATTATACAGTTCATAGCAATCATTATAATTTGCCTTAGTCACAATCTGGGTCGAGAGAAGAAAGTTCCTATTCTAGCAGACTTCTTCTTCTAACACATATTACATCGAAAGATAACATCATCAGGGTAGCCTACTAGTCAATTGATTGCCACAATTAAAAATAAAGGAACTTCTTAGTAGTCCCATCTATTGTAGCCGTTTAATTGTCACATCTTCTCTAAAATCCTCTGTGAACCGATTGTACATGAGCATCACGTAGTGAAATTGGCGCTGTGAACTTGAAATCCCTAAGACGCCTCTGATTGACTCGTTCATAAATTATAGTTTCACCGATTTGTAAAGTATGTATATGTAGTTAATTATATCCAACATGTTTATTTATTGATAATAAGTAATATGACTTATTGGTTATTTACGACAGAAATCGATAATGGATCATGTGATGGACAGGAATATGTGATTAAAGTAAGTTTTCAATGTAACTACATTGAATATCATTTGTTTATGATAGTTGTTTTTAGGTGATTAACAAATGGAACGAATCAGAAAGGTTTTTTTTTTGGAGATTTCAGTATTTTTCATAGTTGAAATCATGAGTCATTTGAAGCTGAACCACCATCGAAAACCTGGAAGCACTGGACCGCCGTTTCGTCCTATTATGGGACTCCTCAGTTGCAGTGCGCATCCACGATCCCACGTCGCGAGATTCGAACCCAGGACCTATCAGTCTTGAACCAGAGCCATTAATCAATAGACCACTGAACGAAATTATTATGTCAGGTTGTATTCGTTATGGATAGACCTTTGTTCTATTGCTACTACAAACTACGAAGTACTAGACATATGTTTCGTCTTAGTATGGTACACCCACAGCAAAGTGCATCCATAAATGACTAAAATCAGACATGTCCGGAGTGAAACAGTTATCATTGATGATAATAGATGATTTGTTTTGCTATTTCGCAAATTGACTGCAGTTGAAATTATACGAATGGTTGCCAACCAAATGGTTTCAAATGTTTATGGACTTATCAAAGATCCGAAATTCGATTTGTTGCAAGTTCATAAGTATAAATTGTGGAGAAGTTTCATACTTGAATGAAACTGCTCTCCAATAAACCTTGATTTACAGTCGTACACAAAACCGAGATTAGTGCTTGATAAATAACATCAGAGATTATCATTATCTCCTTAAAACTCCTTCAACAAAATTAAATTAGTTTATGTGTAAAATTGATCATTTTCTAGGTAACTTATTCTAATCTTTAGTATACATATGATGCTCACTTTTACAGTCAGCTAGTCAGTCATAAATAATGAAGAACATGGCATAAATATGCATTATGGGAAGTCGATGTAACGTTATGGTAGTAGTAATTTTTGTTGCTGTAGTCTATCACTGACAATAACAACAACTGGATAGAACTAGAAAAGAAGGCCCGGGATAGAGTAGGTTGTAGAATGCTGGTCGGCGGTCTTTGCTCCATTAGGGGTTACAGGCGTAAGTAAGTAATCTATCACTGAAAACCCTGATCAGCCAATCAAAAACTGTACGTGTGATCTTTCACTTTCGTGATGTTTCTGGCAAAACTTCTAGTGGATGCTGATTGGGTAAAATGCTTCTTAGTGTTTCCAGAACATTTTTTGTCTTCTGCGAGAAATTATCTGGATCACTCCAACATTAAGGTCAACAAGAACCAATCAACATCGAGATCTACAAGACAAGCTGTGAGCCACATATAAAGAAAATCGAACAATTCACTTCTACCTGATGTTTATACTGATGATATCGTTCAGAACAATGATGAAAGCTCCACGACCAAACCATCCAGCTCAGAGAACAAAACTCCATTAAAATCACCTACACATTAGTTCATTGTTACTACTGTATGATGAATAGTATATTAACTATTCTTTTTTACCAATTTTTGTTTTGAAACAACTTCAATTCTATATACAATTATCCTTTACAAAGTCATTCATTAAGAAAATCCTACCTAGAGACTGACCAGTTGCAGTCCTAAAACGTCAATGGAAAGATTCAAACAAACAATACTAAGTGAATTTAAACTTCACCTCATTGCACAAGCAAGTAGCTATCAGGACTCAGTAGGTGGATGGATAACTCGATGGCGTTTGAAGCGAACGATACTGGGTTCGAGTCTAAGAGTGGACATCAACTCTGAGATGCAGGTGCATCCAGCTGACGAGTCCCAAATAGGATGAAATTGGCATCCTGGATTCCACTGCTAGATTCCACCTACTGAGTCCTGATAGCTACTTGCTTGTGCAATGAGGTGAAGTTTAAATTCACTTAGTATTGTTTGTTTGAATCTTTCCACTCTCAAAGAGTGGACATCAACTCTGAGATGCAGGTGCATCCAGCTGACGAGTCCCAAATAGGATGAAATTGGCATCCTGGATTCCACTGCTGGATTCCACCTACTGAGTCCTGATAGCTACTTGCTTGTGCAATGAGGTGAAGTTTAAATTCACTTAGTATTGTTTGTTTGAATCTTTCCACTCTCAAAAAGGCGGCCTGCTTGAATACCTGGGCTACCTGTTTCTGCCATCTAAATATTTCAACAAGTTATCTGGGTTTTTTTAATTTGTTTTAACCTATCATTATGTCTATTAATCGCATAACCTACACAGGCGCGTTTATAAAAAGCTTATGTCCTTTCGCTGCAAAAATTACAAACAAGCACAATAAGAGACATCGTGGTGGTTGGCAATATGCTTTAAAGAGAATAAACATCAATCAAATGTCGATTCCCGAGCTACTTAACTCTAACTGTCGATCACTAATTAACAAGGTGGACTATCTCCAATTTCTGCTAAGTCAAAACATGTATCGTAATTGTGGTGTCATCACAATTCAAGAATCTTGGTTAACTGACTTACAGGATGATTGCTTAGTGTCATTACGTGATTTTAATATCTATCGTCAGGATCGATCAAACAATAAAAAGACTTGTGGTGGCGGAGTAGCTACTTTTGTAAACGTTAACTGGTGTCGATCTACTTTTGCCTGTTTCAAGTTTTCAAACGACTTTATTGACTGTCTAACTTTAAGGTGCCGTCCAAAACACCTGAATAAATACAAATATATTTATGTTACCAATATCTACATGACTCCAGACTGCACATCATCTGCGCTATCTGTCTTCACTGATAAATTTACTGAATTCGCCGTTACTGCCTTCAGTGATTCACTTTCAATTGTATGTGGTGATTTCAATTCATGTGACTGTAGCTTCCTTACATCACTAGGTCACCTAAATGTAGTAGATTTTCCTACTCGTTTGAATGCTCATCTAGACTTGGTTTTCATTAATGATGTGGGTGCCTATGTGACTCGCAAACGTGCTCCATTGTCTAGTTCGGATCACTGTATAATTCGTGTCCTGCCTAAAGTATATGGTAAACATGGAAAGAGTACACACATACTCCATACCAAAAAAGTAATATATAGGAGTTACTCAGAAGAAAATTTACAAAATCTGAAAAACATGTTTCGTACGACCAACTGGGAAGTACTTACAGATGACTCAATAGAAAACACAACGGATGTCATCACCTCTTATCTTAAATTCTGTTTTGATATTTGCTGTCCTACCGAAACCTTCTTTTTAAGTTTTGATCGACTTACATCTCCACAACTAAAACGACTACGGAGGGTAAAAGAAAGGATGTACAAGGAGAAAAACACTATTGAAGTTCGTAAGTTAAATGATCAAATAAACCAAGAGATTAGACGTCTCAACTGTGTGTTCACTCAAAAACTCCTATCTTGTAGAAGCTCTCCAAGTATGTGGAAACTCTTTAAAGAAATTACAGGGGACAGGCAGACTAGAAGCGAAAACCAGCTAAATGTTTGTGACTTAAATAAGTCCTTTATTCATCAGTCATCTGACATCATGCTCCCTATATCCAAGGGTTTGAAGAATAGTTGTGTCCCCAGTTTTACTGAAAATGATGTCCGGAAATGTCTCCAGTCTCTGAATTCATCTCAATGTTTAGGACCTGATGGTATCCCAAACCTCCTTTTTAAAAAATGTGCTGATGTTTTATGTTATCCATTAACAAATATCTTTAACAGATCCTTCTCAACTAATGTCTTACCGAAAATGTGGAGAAAGATAAAGATAATCCCTATACCTAAGAAAGCTTCTGGTGATAAAAATGCGAAACTTAGACCCATTGCAATAACCTCACCTTTCCTCAAAATAATGGAAAAATTACTGATACAACCACTTCAACCTTCAATAAAAGAGTACTGTGATCCATTTCAGTTTGCTTACAAATGCAAAAGAAGCACATTAGATGCCGTTGCTGTTCTGCATCACAATATAGTGTTCGGGTTGGAAAAGGGTAAGAAGTATGTTAGATGCGCTTTTCTGGACTTTACTTCTGCTTTTGATTCTATTCCAAGACACCTCTTACTTAACAAGCTGATTCGCATCGACACTGACAGCTGGATAATCAATTGGCTACGCTCCTACCTTTCTGGAAGAGAACAGTACACTGTATTTGAAAGAAAGTGTTCAACATCTCTACTGTCTACTGTAGGTGTGCCACAAGGAGCTGTTCTTTCACCTCTGCTCTTCTCTTTCTTTTTGCATGATCTGCCATCTTCCACAGAAAACACTTTTGTAAAATATGCGGACGACCTCACTGTATGTATGCCAATTTCTACCTCCTTACATCCTATAGAAATGAATGAGTTTTTGTCTCGTATTGAAAGGTGGTCTGTTGGTAATGGTCTCTTGCTCAATCCATCTAAATGTCAAGCTGTTAATTTTAGCTTGAGACATGGACAGAACCTATACTCTATGTTGGGATCCCATAATGCTTGTGCCATTGGAGACTCCTTAATAAACACAGTGTCGAGGGTCAAATATCTTGGTGTTACTTTTTCCTCTGATCTTTCTTGGTCTTCTCATGTTTTACTATTATCGAAAAAAGTTTACCGCTTGACATACTACATAAAGAGGCTGCATGCTTTTGGGATTACTCGCCATTTACTCTTACAATTTGTAAATTCCTGCATATTACCTATTATTTTATATTGTTCTCCATTATTCTTTCCCGGGCTTTTGAGAAAAGACTTCGCTATTTTGCGTAGAGTGCTGAAGGCGGTTTGCAAGGTATGTTGTGAATCTTTCCAAGTCATTGTTAATATGCTTGTGGATAGACATCTTAAGTGTTGCAAACTCTTGGCAGGTGTTATCTTATCAGATACTAACCATCCGCTTCATTCATATCTTTCTCCTTGTATATCTTCTGGTAGAACGAGACGTAAATACATTAAAATCCATGCACGCAAGCAAATCTATAAAAGTTCTGTAATACCTTACTTAGCAAATTTACTTTGTGACGAACAGGCTGTTAGAGTTGACCTAGTAAATAACCTGTCTTCTTAAGCATGTCTCAAATTCGATAATTTGTATAAAGTCGGTTTTTCCTAGACCTTTTTTTTTTTTTTGTTTTTTTTTTGTTTTTTTGTTTTTTTTTGTTTTGTTTTGTTTGTTTTTTCGGGTTTCCTTTTTTGGTAAAAAACTTGTTGAAATAACTCGTGCTGAGAATTCTATATTGTACCAGATTATAATATTGAATAAAGCCATTAATAATAATAATAATAATAATAATAATAATAATATCCATCTTTGATTACAATCCTATCTAACATTATTTACTTTGATTCGACCAATAGTATAGTATAGTTACACCGGCCAATATCTTTCACAAATGATCATATTACATTTTTGTCAATAATTATTTCAGATTGTATCCTTCCTTTTCAGACAAAAAGTCGACGCATTTATCGAATTCTCAGTCTTCTCAATCGAGAATTATCAAGACATTTATGACAAAGCAAGTGAGAGAGGTAGTGAAAAAAAAGGGCAAATATGTGGGTTAAAAACCAAAATGAAGGCATTTGAAGTACCAAAAAAGAATGCCAAAAACCAACACTGTTCACCAGAAAATTCCATTATATTCATTTTATATTTTGTAATACTGTTTGTATGCGTGCATATGTGTGTGCATGCACATTACCCATATGCGTTTATCAATTCCTTTTTTTATCTTTTCTTCTCTTCGTTAGCTTTTCTCTTTTACTTTCCTTTTCTTCTTGCTATTATGAACAATTACTATGCTTATTTATTTGAGATACCGTAGGTAGTATGAAGCGTAAGTTTCATCATTGTTTTTTTTATACCGAGAACACACTTATTACCATTGAATGCATTTGCTTGTCCGTATAAATATTGTATACAATCCAATCCAATATAGTGGAAACTATGTAATGTGAATTCATTTAGAAATAGACTTGATTTGTTGATGGGTAGGTGGGTCGGTGTGTATATGTGTGTTTGGGGAGAGGATTTGTTTTTTTACATTGACAGTCTTTCTTAATTTTTAGTGCTTTTAATAATATTTTCTTTTTGTTTTTCTCTGTTATTTTGATAAATTTTCTAAAAAATCTATCTTTATAGAAATTTCTAGTTTCATTTATTGGTTTTTATCGAATTGTTTTTTCTATATTATCTTTGAGACTACCCAATAATATTTGAGTAGTATAAATAATAATAAAAAAATAATGATTATAGGCTCTATACGCCTATATGTCTTTTCTTATTCCGAATAGTGACAATGCTTTCCTTTTCTTTTCCTTCTTTCTTTTCTTTCAATGTTCCCAACTGTTCATCTTATACCAGAGATATTAATGGATAAAAAAATAATTGTTTGCATTTAATTTAATACTAAGCCATTCTAACACTGTTTTTGAGTTCTCCTGCTTTTCCTGCACCTTGTTTTCACTTACCACATTGCTTTTAATTAGTTTCATCATCTTGATTGATGTTGACATATTTGAAGAGTGTTTGTTTTTTTTACTATGTCAAAATCATTTTTAATCCATGTTGCTCAAAAATATTTTTGTCTAAGTTTTACAAAAATTTTTTTTGTTTTTTGTTTTGTTTTGTAACCTTATGGCATTTCTTACATAGAACGAGAGAAAAAAAGCTAAACCCCCCACAATAAAAGATGATCCAATTGAAAGGGGGGGATGAGAAAGTAGAATAATTTTTTCTTATTTATCCATGTTACTAACTAACAGTAAAAAAGAATCATTTATATTAATGTGTGTTTTTATGTGTGTGTGTGTTTGTGTGAATTCTTTCCTGAAAAAATAGTAACTAGGCGCAAGATTATCATGAACCCTTTTTTCTATAAAAAAAAGAAAGAATATTGTTTTATCCATTGTAAGCATTTTAAATGCATTTCATTCTTATTTCCTAGTTCTTTTATATTACTTAAGTCTCTGCATTCTTCTCTTTTTTGCTCTGGAAAGCACTTATGTATACAGGCATTTGGATAACAGTTTTCGTTATTATTTTTATTGGGGGGGGAGGGGGTTTCTTTATCAGAAGCCAAATTGTTTTCATTCGTTGTCGTTTGTCTTTTCTTACCCTGTTCTCATTCTTATTCTTAAATAAATGTGTGCATAGTATTACTTGTGTTTATAAAACAAGAATGATGGATAGTAAGAGTTATCAATGATTTTTAGTAGACTTTCATGAGCCCCAAAATGGCCTGGTACGGTCGAGAGTGTGGAGAGTCAGCTCTCCATCTCCAAATGCTCTCACATGGCCATGCGTATATAGCTTCTGACAGGCAAGTCCTACTCACTGCCTTCTCGTGGCGGGCTTGTTGTTCACGATAGTGAGAGGACGATTTAACCGGGTTGGTGGATGTGTAGTGTCCACCTAGGGCAGTTGGAAAACCTTGATTTCAAATCAATGGTGCACATGGGCTTCAGTATCCTGAGGGAACAAATGGCGTATGAATCAATCGTCGGTCACCGGCTACCATGGGACTGCATCTCCTCACGATGCTCCACTGCCTTTTGGACTAGACCTTCAAGTCAAAGGCTCGGAGTCTGGCTCCCTAAGAAAACCACCTTCTTCAGTTTGGACACCTGGGCAGTATCACAGTCCTCACACAAATCAAAAGAGATTTGTGTGGCTCATATGTATCTGGTGCTTCCTTGTATCAATATTTGTGTGTTTAAATAAATATTTTAATAAATAACTCACATGACGATGAGTATATTACAAAGCCCTGATTATATATAACGCCTGTGTCCGGTTTTTGAATTTTGAGGAAATGTTTCTGATACTCATTAATCTAGATATATATATGTCACTTACTGATTTGTGGGTGGTGGTTAGGATTTCATCTCATATATTGAATGTGTTAAGAGGTGATGTATTGGTTAAGATGTTCGACTTTTAACCTTCAAGTCCCAGATTCGATCTCCTACTTCCTCTAGTGTTCTAGTATTTGGGCTGATAATCTCCATCTCTTTGTGCTAATGGAGTATGCGATATATGAAAATGTGATCTATTAGTTGGAAGCCGAGATTATTAGTCACCAAACTGAACTTATGAGCATAGTTTAACATCGTTAACTAACCTTAAACAATCATCGAAAACTGAGAACCACTGAAATTTGTTTCATTATAGTATAAGACTCCTCGGCAGTGCTCGTCCATGACTCCACTAGAAATCGAATCCAAGACCTTCAGGTTTTGTTGAATTAGTCCGTATTCCTAAATTCAAAAGTTTTTCAACAGTTATTAGCTGTTATTCATGTTTGTGAGGATGGTCCACAGTTGAAGTTGAGGAAGCTCTAGGAATCCCAGAAGGAGCCGGGTATATTCCATCCAATCAGCTTTTGGAAGAATATTCTTGAACCACTACGTGTAGCTTCCCCACTGTCCAATCATGTTGATCATGTTTGCTCTTATGTATGTGTTCTTTAATCTTATGTTGTATTTAGTACATCAATACCATTATTATCGACTGACGTTTCTTTCAACTAAACAACAGGAGTATAGTATACAAACTATTATAATGATGATCCATTCGAATTTTTTTGAGTAATTACTGCAGTCATAGACCTATAGCAGCTCATATACAATTGAGTCTGTTTACATCTAATTTGTCTAAGCCTTTTTGTTAACTTATTTAACGGACAGAGTCATTCGTACAACAACAACAACCTATCTATACTATTGTACCTTTATTATGTACGCTTGAGCATTGCTTACTGCCTACGCATATATTCATTTGTCAAGCCTTAGTATTAGTCGCTTAACTGATTCTATGATTCATGCATTTCCATTCGTATATATATATATACATATATATTTGTACATCTTAACCCTGTTCATTGCACTGTGCTGTATTCGCTTACTCGTTGGCTCAATGGATTGATCCCTTACTCATTCGACTCTCACTCGCCTGCTTTACGAAACTACTCTTTCATGCTTGCTTAACGTGCCTGTAATTTTAGATATCTGTGTATGGTCCAATAATAAACGCAATCAACCCTTCATATTCGTCTTCTGATTTATACACCGTTAGGACGTTACCAATTAACGGCTATGAAGACGAACAATATACGAAGTTTAAGGGTGTGGCCCCCTCCGAAAACCATCTGCTTCAGTTTGGACACCTGGGCAGTATCACAGCCCCCACGCAAATCGAACGAGATTTGGGCGGCGCATATTTATCTGGTGCTTCCTTGTACCAATATTTATGTGTTGAAATAGATAAATAAATATACATTGTGAGTAGTATTCTAACATGCTGTAACTGTGTTCGTACACGTTAAACACATAATTAGCAAGATTAAGATTGAATGGATAATTTCCAGAAATTTTTTCGTATTCAGTCTACAATTTAGATTATTGTAATTCAGAAACTATATCATCTCCAATGTCCAGGACGTTTTAGTGTTTTCTTTTCTTAGGCCATCAATAAAGACAATGAGACTGATAGGTCTTGTGTTCGAATCTCGTGAGGTGGGATCATGGATGCGGACTTCAGAGGAGCCCCACAATAGGACGAAATGGCCGTCCAATGCTTCCAGCTTTCCCATGGTGATCTAGCTCCAACTGACTCGACCTCAACTATTGAATTTATTATATTATCCACAAAAACCCCTTCTGATATTAATAAAGTATGTCTTGAATTGATCTTAGTAATTTTCATCAAATAATGGATATGGAAATTTTAGATTTAGATTCAGGCAGAAATCCAAAAAGGTTTTCTCAATGCTACAATGATGAATTTTACAACTAATTCAAACTCTGTCTATAGCTGAATGTCCAAAAAATTGATCTGTCCCTTTAGCATAAGTCTCAGAGAATAGACCAGTTAGGGAAGGATTTGCTTTTACTAAATGTGGTTGTCATTCAGTCCCGGAAAAGATTTTTTGATAGTAGATGTCAAACTACGTGAAATAATTATGAAAAACTAGATGACAGCACATATTTCGTTTCTGAAGAATCACAATTAGAACAAACACAGAGTATAGCATAAGATAGTATGTACTGTCTTTTATACAATGGAAAGCATGGTACTGTAATCACCTTGAATATATGGAGTGAACAAACTATAAACAACTTTCATTTCTACCGTACAGCGTTTGATAACCTACCTGGCTATAAAATTCCGTAACCAAGGAACGGTGAGACAACTTAAGAATTACAACCAAACTTCATCAATTCAAAAACCCAAGAAATCTGACTTATTAAAGACTGGTGTCATATCTTTTGCCCCTGTCAATTATCACATGACAAAATCGCCAACCAGAATACCGACTTATATGACTTTTTTCTTATTCTAAACCAATGACACGTCAACTAGCATTAGCAGTCTTGTGTCAACTCTGAATCCTTATTGGGCATCGCTCACGTAGGTACCAACACGTCCAAGTCAACAGAACGGTTAGATGAACATCGACTTGTCCCCTATGATGATGACGGGACTAGCTCGTACACTTCATCTAACCCATAAATGCAGTTTCGTTTTCCCAAACTTCCTACCACATCCAGTGTTTTGACATCATCTAATTTACTTGATATGGGAAGAGGTTCTAACATTCCGCACTATACCTCCCCAAAGGTATTGCGTTCATACATAAGAGGATAGCTGAACGAAATACAGGCATACCCGCTGGCGGGGTGGTAAATGCCATGTTGGGAGTGTGAAGGTATTTAGTAAGAGAATTTGGTTTACTTATTATATTTACAGTCATTCTTAAATAGTACCGATTCTGAGTGGTTATCTCTTGGATTCATTAAGCAAGGGGACGTAGTGTTTTCTACGAAACCAAGGCTTGTTACCGAGAGGTGTCATGTGACCGGAAATGTATCTTTTATTATTATTATTATTATTATTATTATTATTATTATCATCATCATCATCACCATCATGATAGTTGGAGACTACAAAGCTAGCACTAAGAAATATCCAAGGTACGTTAGGTATGAGTAGCACTACCATCCTAAGTAGAAGTAATTAGAATCGTGCTATATAAGAGCAAATTATTTCTAAATTTTCGACACTTGCAAAGAAGAGACAATTTCGAATATACCTCTGGATAAGTCACAGACATTTTTGCCTGCAGATGCTGTCAAAATCTGGAGGACCATAAGTAGTGAGGCTGAACACTTTGATCTCCAAGCTTTCCTAGACGAACTAGTTAGGTGTTCCCAAAGTTAGGGGCTTCAAAACTTATTCTATAAGATTGCGCTATTGCGCATAGGACAAGGAAATAGTTAATAATAATAATAATTTATTCTCAAATAACAGATTGTTGTCAGAATACTATCGCTTCACGTGTTGAGAAATAAAAATACTTAGTAGTAACAGTAAACCATGACTTGAAATCAACTGTTTATTGCAATGCATCGGGTAAAGTTTTTCGAGCTTCATGGTCGTTTCTCAAAGCATTCAAATGCTTTGATGGGAACTTGTTTCGGATTTTATAACCCACTTATGTGAGCCACACCTAGATTATTGAATTCAAACAGATGTTCCATGCCTTATTAAGGTCGCTGATACGCACTAATTTGTTCAGCTTTTAGAATTAAAGTCAGTGAGGGGCATTTCGAAGCTTTCTTACGTTGAGCATTTACAATACCCAAAATGTTTCCACTTATATTACCTTAGAATGCGAGGTGATCTTGTAGCGGTGAATAACCCCACAAGATCAATAGCTCTGTACGTCTTCGGCATTTGATAATGACCACATTACTTTTAAGGGACTCATCTAGCTGAAGGAGCTCGGTCACGCATCCACACCAGAGTGGATGTGCCGTGCTCCACATCTACAAACGCTAGCTAGCTTAGATTAATCATTTCTCGGTATGTCAATATTCCATCAAATATATCTTGGAACATCTTCGCTCCTGACTTTCGATTTCACTGGGTTGGCACGTTTCGATTTTAAATGTTGTTACTAGTTGAGGTGTTGTCAAACTTCTAATACCTGTGGTATCTTCACCTTATATTGGCATTCTGCATCTTTAATAATGATTTGGGTGCTAATATGTCTTATCTTTTTGCTTCCTTTAGAACTAATATCTCAGGTCATAGGATGAAGGCTGAAAACCATGATCCAATGGATTCAGAATGGGTTGCGTAGATCATCGGCGTAGAT